CAGTGGTAGAACAGTATGTGGCAAAGTATGCCACCTCAGTTGTTTGTTGCTAATTAAGCTGATCCAGTAAAGGAGCCATACTCCAGTATGCTTTGAGACTCATAGACCCAGAAAAAGTAGCTCAAACCACCAAGAACAGGCCCAGAAGAGCACAGTGAAGATTAACATTTACCAATAGAGATGAAGTTGCTTATGTTGTTGAACAGAAGGCTATTTTCTCAGAAGTCTTTACAGCAATCGTGCTATACCTCAGTATGCTCTTCAAAATATTTTATCGGTAACTCTTTTCATGATCTATCAGATTTTATACTAAAAAGATATGAAACCAAGCATTTAAAAAAAAAAAAAAAGGCAGCCAGGTGTGGTGGCGCATGCCTTTAATCCCAGCACTTGGGAAGCAGAGGCAGGCGGATGGATCTTTGTGAGTTCGAGGCCAGCCTGGTCTACATAGTGAGTTCCAGGCTAGCTGGGGCTGAGAGACCTTGTCTCAAAAAGACAAAAAGTTAAAATTTAAAAAAAAAAAAACAAAACCCCAAAACAAAAAGGCAAAGCTTTAACTTTAGATCTAGGAATATCCTCTTTAAAAGCTCTAACTTTGGGAAAATAGTGATAGATGTGCATACTCAATACACTATTTCTTATGTAAAACAATGAATTATAGAAGAGATCTCTCTTGAGCAAGAAAAATATCAGAGTCTACTCCTTTCAGACTGTGTGTGGGTGAATGCTTTCACTCAGTCATTTTTCAAATACTTAGTCAACCTTGATAATTTTTAAAGGCAGACAGGTGGCATGTGTCTATTGTCTAGGTACTCGAAAAGCTGAGGCAAAAAAAAAAAAAAAAAAAAAAGACTACTTGTACCCATTCTAGGTTTACCTGGGAAACATAGTGAGACCCTATTTCTAAATAAAATGACTCACTTGCTCAAACCTTCTCCAACAACTAAATATTCAAATACAAGCTAAACTCTTACATGATAAAGATAACAAGTTATAAGCATTTTTCAAGAACGTAGGTTGTTACAACCCACTAGTTCCTACAACTCAACCTAGATTTTTAAACCTGAAGTTTACAACTTCATTTACTAATTTTCATAAGCTGAACCAGTGTAATAGGGATCAAACCCAGAACATCAGTATCACAAAGCAGCAGTATTTTTGGCTCCCTTCTTCCCCACCTTAGCTCATGGTAATACAAAAACAAAGCTTTAGAGGTGTGTGAAATGGAAAGTCTACTTCAAACATTTCTTTTCCCTTTTCCACTGTAATCTGTATTTGAAAATGAGAATTCACAGACCTGGTTGGAGACTCCTGGTGAAAAGGAGTATCTCATCTCAAGTTCTTTCCAAATCCATATAACAAAGCCATTAGCTAGCAAAGCACATACAATAAAATTCTGAAGAGACAGCACAGATAAAATCATGTTTTTCCTCCCTGCCGTTCCAAGGCATCTTCTTCTTTCCACACTTCAGCATGAGCAACAAAGATAAGCAACAATTGTTACCTCTAAGACCACCAAGTCTACATTTCCAACGGCACGAGATATTTTCAGGAGTTAAAAACAAAAAAGACAAAACAAAACAAAAAGAACAAAAAATGTTACAGCTCAAGTGAGGTACTTTTGTACAGTTAAAAGCATTAAAAGCATCAGCCTTTATTTTGTGACAAGTTTATTGAACAGTATTCAAGACTTCATCTTTATAAACAAAAAACTGCTAAATGATGCCAAAGTAGTATTTGCTGGCCATGTTGTGGTCACACTGTCAACAGCCATTTTACTGTGTTTGGTTTCAAATATTTGGACTTACTACAGAACTGCCAGTAAAACTATTGCAAAGTAATTTAAACATGGCAATTTTTTGACTGGGGAAAGTATTGAAAGTGATCACCACCAGAAATTCTTTCCAAAAAAATGACTGTTACTTTACACATTACTTATTTTTCAAGTGTTCTTCAAATGAAGTGTATTTTTACACACTTGACCCACATTCTGTACCATCATAGAACCCAGCAAAATAGAGTTCAAGTGAAGCTTTCGTGCTTCCTTATTTTTATGCAAGGTGATTATTCTCACCTAAAAACATACATTTGCTTACTTCCATAAAGTGGGTAAAGACTGACCTTAACTACATTAATTATAACTATCTGCAAGTTTGAAATTTCCTAATGAACTTTAATTGTCAATGCTTTGACAACTTGGAATACAAAGTTAGGAACTACATTTCACTTAACACTGTTGGATTAAAATAAAACAAAAACCAAAAGAGCCACTAATAATTACACATCCGAACTAGTATAAACATACGAAATACTTCCAAATTATGCTTGTGAACTAAATCTGTCACTGAAGTTCAGGAAAATTTACAAATTTTCTTTTAAAAAATACATTTGTAGGTTTCACTACTCCTTTAAATCAAAAGAAAAACAAACACCAATAAAAGTTCAGAAAGGGGGGAAAAAAAACTAATGGGAGAGAGATTCTCTTCCATTAACGTCAGAGTCACCTAAAATAGACAAAATTAACACGTAAAATTGAGAATAACATGATAAACGTGTTGACAAGTGCACTTTGAGCAAAGCTTTACAAAACCTTCATACCTTACAAATGAGAAAGTTATGTGACTTCAAATCTCCTCCAAACCTAGTTCTGGAGAAAACGTATGAAGAGGTACAAATGTTTCACCAAACAAATTTTCAGTGTTTTTTTTTTTTAAAACAAAAACAAAAAAACTGAACCTTCAATGCCCAGAACAAGATAAACACCATACTTAGCAATTAGCACTACGTTAATATTCTCAGATATACAAAAATCAAGTTCCAGAGAGCAAAGCATTTAATTACACTTCACAACAAGCAGTGCTGTGATTCAAGAGACTATGAAACACAATTCTCTCCAATTTCACCAGCAACAACTGTTTTTATAATTTAATGAACAATGAGATTCAAGTTTTCCTTTTTAGCATTATCTAAGATGTAGAAATAACAGTAGCTGCAATAAAATTAATAAAATATTTAATAAGAATGTACGATACAACCAAAATAAATTGTGATAAAGCATAAGAAACTTTCATCTTCAAACAACCAATTTTCATAAAAAATAAATTGCTTTCCAGTGGGGAAAATAATCTGCAGTAGTTGAAATAAGATATGCAAGCAGTGCTGAAGTTTTCTTATTGTTTTTGGAACGAGAAATTATTACTTAACAAAACTACCTATTCTTTTGGAGCAGTATCTATCAAGCAAATTTGTATCTGTAAATTACCAAACAATTCACAATGCGGCCATTTACTTCTTTTCGAAGTCTGCACAATCCTTTCTCTAAAAGAAAATCCCTTACTGTCAATACGCTAAGACTGTAGCAATGAATAGGCTTTCCAAATTTTACCACACAAATGAAATTGTTGCCACTCTTAACTATAAAATTACACGACGACACATATTTCAGTGTTCCACTGCCTTGGAACAACAAAAAGGCACTACATATACATGTATGTATATAATTATTAATAGGAAATGCTTCTCTTAAAAGTAAAATGCAGACTCATAGAAAATGCTGGGTGTGCTTCAAACCAAAACTACAGGGCCATATAAAAAATAAAATTTATTTCCCATGATTATTTACTAATCGCCAGTTCTGAAACATTTATAAATATGTGACACAGCTTTCAAGCATTTTAACTAAGGAATTAAACCCTAGAGCCTCTAGTGTCAATGAAGAGATGTGATACGCCAAATGCTTTTGACAAGGACATTTAACCAACCCAAACCTATGTGGTCCTTCTTGCCAAAAGAAAGAATGTGAAAAAGCAAGAAGTCTAAATTCTCTCCTTTGACAGTTGTACTTGCGCTCTGCATAGAGAATTTTTGTGAATAGGCTCATGATCAAACAACTATACCAAAAAGCCTCCAACTTAACAGGATTAAACACATACCAACCTATCATACAACTTATGGATTCTACAATACTACTGTTAACAAAATTAACAGTTTCAACTTCAGTTTTAAAAGCCAAGATACAATGCTCTGGCTTATGAATGGACTCCTCTTTGTTTACTTATAGGCCAAGCTTTCAACAAAGTAAGGATAAAAGGAAATTGCTAGAATTAGTCCATCACAGACAGTACTACAAATCAAACACCTAAACACTAACTACTAAAAGTGGTGTCTGGTTTTCAATGCCATCCAAACAATATGAACAAATTTTAAACTTACTAGATAAAACCTGATGGTCAAACTGAAAGAGGTAAGTAAAGGTCTCCATAGTTTATTTTTATGGCAAAGTCATTCCACACAATTTTAAGTGTGACACTGGAACTCAAAGTTCAGGGTTATAGCACAAACCAAGTGTGGAGTTTTTATATTAGATATTTAAAAACCAACAAAGTAGTTGTGCTCATTTGCAAATGAGTCAATTATGCAAACAAAGCAGCAACATCTGAAGCAGAACTGTCTATACAGCAAGAACCTCAAGAAGCAATAAAGGTACATACAAGGAATCTGTATACAGAGACTTTATTCAATTTTAAAATAAAATGAAGATTTTAGACAAAGCTTTGACCCTGTAACAAAGCGAATTTGTCCAACTTTAAATCAAATTGCTAAAGTGGTCAACTTCTATTTGTCAGCAGCTGGCAAGAGCACCCTCAACGAGCTCTATTCACATCTCTATTTTCTTCATCCCATGTGGTATAAAACAAAACCAACCTAGATTCCTTGATAAGCTTTATATGACCTTTGGGTTTTACAAACGGTTTCCAATGGTATGCCAAAATTACTTTTGTGTTCTCTCCAGACAGCTTTACTATAATATATAGCAATGTTTATTTATTCTGTGAATTGGAAACAATCAATGCTCTGTGTTATAGAAACCAATCTATATGCAATTTAAACAATCCACAGGTTCTAACCTGGAAATACTAGGAAAACAATCCGGATGCATTAAACACAGCAATATGAAGATATATCCTATAAAGAACTGATGTGAATGACTACCCTAATACGAGTTTTACTTTTCTTGAACCTATTGGCCTATCATTTAAGTCAATGACAGCAGCTGTGGCTTCATCCCGAGATTCAAAGGCCACCATGGCTTCACCTGTAGGCATACCTTTTTCATTGTACTTTAAACATACTGAACCTGGGATTACTTGATAACCATAAAAGAAATCTAAAATCTCATCAATAGATACAGTGAAGGGCATATTTTGCACCTTAATTATTGTAGGCCCTGGTTTGCCAGAACTAGCTCCAAAGCCAGGGGGACCACCAATATGAATTGGGCCAGGCCCAGGGCCAGGGCCAAAGGCTGGAGGCCCACTCAAATGCCCAGGAACACTTCCAAGACCAGGAGGACCACTTCCAAAAGCAGGGGGGGCACCTAAACTACCAGGGCCATTTCCAAAATTCTGAGGAACCCCCCCAAATCCTGATGGTCCACTTAAACTATTTGGTCCACCTCCAAAACCTGGAACTTCCAATCCTAGACCAGGCAAACCACTGTTTCCAACTGAAGGCATAACAGGCCTAACATCACCAAAGGCCGCTCCTAACCCCGGAGGAGGGAGTGGTGGTCCAAAGGCATTGGACCCACCAAAATTGGCAGGGAAGTTAAAGGGAGGCCCATTATTGGCCTCCTTTGTTCCTACAGTCAAGAAGACATGCTCTTCACCTCCTGCACTGGGGATGCCAGCACCAGGCATTGTGGGACCAGGGATTGCGGCACCAGGAATTGTGGCACTAGGTATTGCAGGGCCAGGTATTGCAGGACCCGGCATTCCAGCACCAGGGATTCCAGCACCGGGGATTCCGGCACCAGGGATTCCAGCACCGGGGATTCCGGCACCGGGCATTCCAGTACCAGGTGTTCCGGCACCAGGCATTCCAGTACCGGGCATTCCGGCACCAGGGATTCCAGCAGCCGGCATGCCCGCACTAGGCATTCCAGCACCTGGCATCCCAGCACCCGGTATTCCAGCAGCAGGAATTCCAGCAGCTGGCATCCCTGCACTAGGTATTACTGGTACTGCAGGATTACCTGGCACAGGCATCTTTAACCCCTTTTTTCCTTGGGCTGGGGGATTTTTCTCAATCTCTCTCATATCTTCTAGGGTAACTATATGAACAAAAGCTTCTCTCCCATTCAGTTTTTTACGGTGTAAGTGTTCAGATTTACGTGCATCATCTTCACTTTTAAACTGAACCAATGCCTGCCCTAGACCTTGCCCATTGTTATCAACAAGAACATGTACAGCATTTTCATCCACTGGAATTCCTTCTAGGAACTGAAGAACGTCCATCTTGGTAATGCTGAATGGAATATTTGTTATGTGGGCACAGACCTTGGCAGAGTTGACATCCCCCTCTGGATTTAACACCACTTCCCTCTGGTCATAGCTGAAGTTCTGGAGTCGTTTTCGAATCATATCTATCTTTTCTAGCATACCTTTCTTAGTAATTGGATGAACTTGAATAAAGCGATTGCCCATGTATTGTTTATGACGACACAGAGCAGCCTTATAGTCAGTCTCATTCCTGAATTCTACAAAGCCTTCACCAGTTGCTTTCCCATTGGGTCCATAAGCTATATAAATACTATCCTCTACAATATCCAACTTCTTAAAAAAATCAATGACATGTTTGTTTTCTGCTTCAAATGGTAGCCCTTTTAAGTAAACACAAAAACCAGCCTCATGTGGTGATCTTGACCTTGACCTTTTCTGCCCACTGGGCGATTTCGACCTTGGAAGTGTCTGTGGAGGGGGATGGGCTTGTCCAGAAGGTCCCATACTTTGCTTAAAAGTGATATGACCTCCAGCAGCTACCCACTGTCTCTCTGTGGCAGGACTAACTTCCACATAGCGTTGAATCATCAGCATTCTGTTCCGTTTCAAGGCTTCAAACGTATCTTGAGGGGAGAGAAACTTAACCAATCCATTCCCATTATTTCGACCTACATGATCTTTTAACAAATGTACTGCATCAACACGGAGCCCATGGAAAAACTCTCTGACATCATTTTCCATTGCAGAAAAGGGCATTCCATGCACACTCACATACAGATCATCAGGGTTGATGGGAAGTGACTTCACGTTGCTTTGAGAGTTCATCTGGATAGGGTTAACAGGATTTAGTGGACCCAGAAACATAGGGTTCAGATTATTGTTCAGACTCATAGGTGCTCCAGAGCCATTCATTCCAGCAGGTAGAGGTGCCACGGGTGGTGGATTCAAGGGTGGCATGCCTGACATGGGTGGCAATGGGGTCATGGGTGGCACAGAAGGGACAGGGGGGATAGGGGGAACTGGAGGCACAGGAGGCAATGTAGGTACTGGAGGAGGAACTGGTATTGGAGGAATGGATGGCAGCGGTGGCAAAGATGGCATTGCTGGGATTGGAGGAATTGGTGGTGGTGGGACTGTGTTCATTGGAGAAGCTGTACTCGGAATGGTTGAGCTGAACGTTGGACTACCAAAAGAAGCCCCCATGCTTGGAGGTGCAGTTCCTACGCTGGCTGTGGAAAATGTCTGTATGTTTTTGTTGCTCTCATGAACAGAAGTGGTAGCAGTAACTACACTTGGTGAAGGATTATTAAAGTTGGGTACTGTTGTAGGCAAATTTACCCTGCTGCTCATTCCAGAGCTAGGTGGTGGTCCTGATCTACTAGCATTTGCTGGTGGTATATCTAAGTTGGCAGTTTCAAAACGCCTACGACTCAGTTCAATCATATTCTGCATTTCTGTTTTACTACTCAACAACAGTGTTACTTTTGACCCTTTAATTGTACCACCTGTGCGCATCATACCAAGCCTTGCATCTTCATCAGTGGCAAAAACGATGAAAGCCTCACCCAGTTCACCCCCTACAATATGCACGCCCCCATCAGGGATGGTCAATCCAGAGAAGAAGTGGCGAATGTCCATGGTCCCCGCTACAATTGGGAGACCTTGCAAACGGATGACCACAGCCATGCTGCGCTGAAACCACACACACCTGCAGATGAGAAAAGGCAATGGCCATGTCAGACTCCTTTTTAATCATACCAAATTCCTAGTTGCAAGAATAACCAGCAACTAGGTTATCCCCACAAACATTCCCTCCAGATAGCACAATGTCTTTAATTTAGATATTCTAAAAACTGAACATTGAGTGCTGTTAAAATGTAAAACCTGAACAATTTCAACTTTCAAAGGCATTAATTCTGTAATTAATTATAAAAAAGTTTGGTTTCATGACTCAAAAGACTCAGGAAAAACTATTGGACAGTAAAATTACCACACATTCAGACCACTAAGCTTTCAGCAAGATTTAAAAAAAAAAGAAATCTTGCTGTACGCCAAATCACAAAACTAAGTATAACTATCTATAGAGGAAAATCATGCAAAAGCTGCAAAGGTAGTATTTAAAGCTGGCTTAGTATCTTCCCTATAAACCTTATAATTTCATAGAACTATTTATTACAGTGGCACTTTATAAAGTTCAGTCTCAAAATCCAAAAGTAATAGAAGACTAGACTCTTCCTAGATTACAAATACCTAAAAATAGATTCATACCTCAAATAGATTGGTGAGTGTTTGAGTAGCATTCACAAGGTCCTAAAGCCAACCCTCCAGCACCAGAAATCTCAAATGAGAGCTGGTACCACATTTCATCCTATGCTGCTTTACAGCTTTATTAAATAAGATTATCGGGCTGGAGAGATAGCTCAGCAGTTAAGAACACTGACTGTTCTTGCAGAAGACCCGGGTTCGAATCTCAGCACCCACATGGCAGCTAACAACTGCCCATAACTCCATTTCCAGGGGATCCAACAGCCTCTTCTGTACTCTGTGGGCACTGCATGACATGGGTGAACTTACCTAAATGCAGGCAATACACACATACACATAAATTAAAAATAATAATTAAGCCAGACGTGGTGGCGCACGCCTTTAATCCCAGCACTCGGGAGGCAGAGGCAGGCGGATCCCTGTGAGTTCAAGGCCAGCCTGGTCTACATAGTGAGTTCCAGGACAGCTGAGGCTACAAGGGAGACTGTCTCAAAAAGACCAAAAAATAAAAATAAAAATAAATAATAATAATAATATATTTAATAAAACTATTTGTGGCTGGGAAGATAGCTCAGTGGGTAAAAAAGCAACCTATGCAACCATGAGGACATGAGTTTAACTCCCCAGCACCCACATGGGTGTGGGTGCCTGTGCTTGTAACCCTAGCACTATAGGGGCTGGAGACAGGATGATTGCTGGGACTTACTGATTGTCAGCTTAGTTCCAAGTTCAGTAAGAGACCTTCTCACTGGAATAAGGTAAATAGTGATAGACTGGGATTTCCAATGGATAACCAAAGTCCTTCTCTGGCCTCTGGGTGCAAACACAGGTCCACATATACATGCATGCATGCATATACACACACACAGAGAAAAACAAACTAAATGTGGTGCACGCCTTTAATCCCAGCACTCCCAGGCATATCTCTGTGAGACTGAGGTCAGCCTGGTCTACATAGCAAGTTTCAGTCCTGTTGGGCTAACAGGGAGATACTGTTTCAAAACACAAATTTTTTAAAAAACTATCTATGGAACTACTTACTAGAAACAAAGCAAATACATACTAAAAATTCGAGGAAATACTAAATAGGATAGCCAAAATCTGTGTTAATCTGTATTTATCACCCCACAGTGGAACCTATTTACACTACTATTCATTGTGGCTATTTACAAAAGCTCAAGTTCATTGACTAACATTATTAAATTTTGCATTAAAAAATATAAGTAAACCCAGGCATGATGGTGCTTGCCTTTAACCCCAGCAACTAGGGGGGAAGGGGCATGGCTGTGTGCATACAAGGGGCAGAGGATCTCTGTAAGTTCAAAGCCAGCCTGGTCTATATAGTCTCTAAAACAAAACAAAATACTAGCTAAATAAGGGCAAGGGACGTAGATCATCAGTTGGTAGGATGCTTATTTAGCATTCACAAAGTCCTAGGTTTGATCTCTAGTGCCACATAAACCAGATGTGGTGGTAAATGTCAATTATCCCAGTACTTGGGAGGTTGAAGCAGGAGGATCCTGAATTCATGGACTACAGAGATTGTTCAAGGTTTGACTCACTGTCAAGAGCCTCTGACCCAACTTAACTCTTGCATCTGGTTAGCCTGGCTACACAGAAGACCTGTCCCCAAAACAAAACTAAATGACAACAAAAACAAAAAGAAAGAAAAAAAAAGAAAAAGAGGGAGGAAGTATAGCAAGATGTCTCGGGTGACAAAGGTTAATTGGTGCTATAAGCAAGCCTCAAGACTTAAGTTCCATCTCCAGGATCCACAGGGTAGACAGGACAGAACAAATAAGCTGTTCTCTGATTGCTGTATGCGCACCACCCCCCACATACGTGCACAAATAAACAATAATAATAATAATAATAGGGCTGGGGATGTAGCTCGGTTGGTAGAGTGACTAACATGCGTAAAAGGCCTTGGGTTCAATTCCTAGCACCGCATACATAAAATAGGCACAGAGGCACACACCTGTAATACTAGAAGTGGAGAGGTAGAGGTAGGAAGACTAGTTCAAGATCATCCTTGGTTATATAGCCAGTTTAAGACCAATCTGAGAGACCCTTTCTGAAAAATAAAATAGGTGCTGTAGAGATGGCTCAGAGGTTAAGAGCACTGATTGCTCTTGCAGAGGACCTGGGTTCTTTTCCCAACATCCATATGGTGACTAACAACTATCTATAACTCCAGATCCAGAGGATCTAATGCCCTTTTTTGGCCCTGGCAGGCATTGCACACATATAGTGTGCTTATATGCAGGCAATACACTGATTTACATAAATAAAAATGAATAAAATCAATCAAAAGATTTTTTTAAAATTTTAAATAAAGTTTAATTTAAAAATTCTCTCAAATTTAAATCTAACTTCAGGATTTTATTTCTTTCTTTCTTCTGTTACCTGGCAGCATCAGCATTTCGGTTCTCGTGGATTCTACATTTATAAAAGGATTAAGAATCAAGTTTTAGAGATTGGAAAAATCTTAATTTGGAACTAATGTGATCAATCAAGTTTTAAATATAAGCCTACTAAGCTGATTCTGAGTCCTCAGGGAAGTTAACTGAGATCTGGTTTAATTACGTCTCAAAACAAGAATATTACAAGGGGCAAAGTTTCCTGCTATAAACTTTTAAGACTTATGCAATTCAATGAAATTCTTCATTATCAAATATTGAACCCCAATTTAATATAATGGAGTCTGTAATTGTATCACAATATGGTAACTGCTACATACAAAATAGAAATATAGTTTGGTTTTGATAGTTTTTTTTCTTTTTCTATTTGTTCCTTTTTGAGCAGCCAAAAGTTACGGTTTATTATATCTGAAGAAATTTCATAATTCAAACATAACCAAACTGTATATTTACAATCACATTCTATTGTTAAATGGTTAAAAGCCCCTGACTACCTTTGCATCTTAGGACATAAATTCAATAAAGCAATGAAATGATGGCAAATTCTGTACTGTTAAAATATTTACTTTTAACCTGTCTCAAAAAAAAAAAAAACAAATTTACTTTTGGGGCTGGAGAGATGCTCAGGAGTTAAAACCATGAACTGCTTGTCCAGAGGACCTGAGTTTGGTTTCCAGCACCCAAATTAGGCAGCTCTTAATGCCTGTTAACTCCAGTTCCAGAGGGACCTGATGACTCTGGCCTCCCAGGGAACTTCCACTCACGTGCACATACCCACACACAGACACATACAAACACATAAAAAATTAAAAAATTTTAAACTTTTTATTCTTTAGTCTCTCCTCTTTGACTCAACAAGGATTTCCCTTCCACCCCCTCACGTTCTCCCCTCACCTTTTTTTAAAGACACTGAACTTCTGATCCTCCCCAGTACTAAGATTATAGGTACATGCTACCTACCACACCCAGTTTATGTGATGCTAGGGGCTGAACCAGGGCTTTATGCATGCTAGGTAAACACTACCAACTGAGCTATATCTTCAGTCACTTGACAGTTTTTCCTTACATAATTATACACAACGATAAAAACAATCTTCAAATTCAACCGAGAAAGATGGACTAACAAACAGAAAATATTTTATCAGACCACCATAAAGCACTAGAAATTTGGAGAGGGTGAGCAAAGCTTTTCACTTAAGAACTGCAAGAGTCAACAAGAGGGCCAGTGAAATGGCTCAGCCAGTAAAGACTGAGTTGGATACACAGGACCCACATGGTAGAAGGAGAGAACTGACTCTTGAGCATGCATGTACATACAGAGTTCTACAACAGGAAAAAGGAAAACCATCACCAACACATTATTTTCTATTTAGCAAGCAATAAAGTTGACCAGTACGTTTCAAAATAACTGAGCCAAATTCACATTCCTTACTGAATCTGAAACCTGTTTATGTGCAAATTATGACAGCATCCTGTTAAACATAAAAAATGTTTAATCACTTCCTATAAGAGAAACAGCATAGGTATTCTCCCAAGCAGTCAAAACAATCTTGGAGAAAGATATTTTAGTTTGTACTTTAAGACTGAGAACTTGAAATGGTCTCAGGAACACAAATTAAACACAAGCCTAAATGATATACATAATAAGTTTCTAAACCATAATTCTACTAAGAGAAGAGAGTCACAAAGTCTATACAAGATACCCAAGAAAACATGCAAATTACTAAAAACCTGCCTCAGAGTACCAGTTAGAAAAGGGCTGAGGAATAAACCAAGTAGAATACAAGATTTATTCAAAAAGCCATCTGAAGAAAAGTTTTTAGGTTCTGAAAAATATGAGGTAACATGTTATTTTGCTAAGTACTTGAGGGTAAATCATTTCGACCTATCCTGAGCCTAGCTTGTTCACTTAAACAAAAGACTGGATTCAATCACTAAGATTCCATCTAAATGTACACTGTAAAACCTATTACCTACCATCTACACTTGTATCTTAGGAGATATAAATATCCATACAAATAATAAGCACCTGAATCTACAATCCAATGAGAATGCTGAGGGGAAAGCTCCCCCTGGCTACCTAGCAATAAGAAATACATCCACATGAAACCCTCATAGGAAGCACCCATTTACCCCACCTTCATCCCTCAGAGAACCACACAATTAGGTTGATACATGTATTTTCATGTTTCTTAATAAGGTATCTCATTTTATTTTGTATAAAAATAAACCTATTCAAAAATCTCTTACCTTGTAAAACAAGAGATGTATTTTCTTAAGAAGAAGAGGCCAAGTCAATCCTGTGGGCAACCAATTAAAACCAACTTTTAGACTGCAATAGAGAATAAACGGAGGCAAAAATCAATGCAGGAAAACACAAAACACGAACAGGCCACACTGAACTGTACATTACAAAGGAAAGTCTGAAACCACCAGGTTACTTTTTTTTAAAAGAAGACATATCGAAATCACACATTTTTAATATGGTATTGCCTTAAAATCTGAGAATCATTCCAATATTTATGTATCAAGAACACATTGAGATATTTATATCAAGAATCAAGTTAGTCAATAAATAAACTGAAAATTTAAATAGTAATAAAGCTCAACTTCGCAGCTGTTAATCACTTTTATCACTTGATAATTATACAAATCCATAAAATTCCATAAAAGTCTATATCTATATAAACAAGTCCAACTTCAACTTATTTCTCGAAGTTCCCACCAAACTTATGGATCAAAAAAACACAGCAGTAACAATTCCTGGACAAACTGTCATCAATACAAGGATATTAAAAGAAATTACTGCCATTACTCTTTCAAATACTTTCACTTTTGCACTGAAATATCACACAACACAAAACAACAAGTGAAAGTTCAGTCTATAAGGGCTAATTCCATAGGTATTCAACATATTAAGGAAAAATTCTTCTAACATCAAAACAGTTCTCCCCCAAAAACTGTTTAACATGTTCCCTAGGGCTGGAGAGATGGCTCAAAGGTTAAGAACACTGACTGTTCTTGCAGAAGACCCAGGTTTGAATCCCAGCACCCACATGGCAGCTAACAACTTTCTGAAACTCCAGTTACAGTTCGAAGGCCTCTTCTGTCCTCCTCGGACATTGCAGGACACAGGTGCACTTACATACATGCAGGCAATTACACACATACACATAAATAAGATACAAAGAAAAGAAGTTCCCTAAAGCACATCTATAATCTCAGCACTCGAAAGGCAGAATTTGGAAGACCACCACAAGTTTGAAAGTAGCCTATGTTACATACTATATTAAGTCCAATCTAGGTTGGTCGATAGCAAAATCCTATCTCAAAAAAAAAGGGGGGGGCTGGAGAGACAGTTCAGTGGTTAAGAACACTGACTGTTCTTGCAGAAGACCTGGGTTCGAATCCTAGCACTCACATGGCAGATAACAACTGTCCGTAACTCCAGGTCCAGGGGATCCGACAGTTTTTTCTGTCCTCCAAGGACATTACACAACATGGGTGCACTTACCTACATGCAGGCAATACACGCATACACATAAAAATAAAATACTTTTTAAGAAAACCCCAAAATATCCCCCAAATATCTTAGCATATACTCTGCAAATTTAAAGCAGTAATAGGATACTTATCTTTCAGGGGACTATTTCCCAAACTTGTAATGAACAATTCACAGGCAGTACATATGACCAAATAATTATAGGGTCTTTTTTTGGGGGGGGGGCTTTTTGAGACAGCGTCATTTTTAAATATGTTTTGTTTTGGTCTTTTTGAGAAGGGTCTCCCTGTAGCCCCAGCTGGCCTGGAACTGCTATGTAGACCAGACTGGCATTGAATTCACAGAGATCCACCTGCCTCTGCCTCCTGAGCGCTGTGATTAAAGGCATGTGCCATCACAGTTGGCTATTTAAATATGTTTTTAACCTTTATTGGAGTGTGAAGGGCAGTCCTGGGTATGTGCATGCCACCCCATACATGGGCAAGTCAGAAGACAACTTTTGGGAGCTGGTTCTCATCTTCTACCATAGGGGTCCCAGAGATCAAGCTCAGGTCAGGCTTGGTAGCAAGTGTCTGTGCCTGCTGAGTCACCTTATGGGCCCTATAAGTTTTTTAATATGAGGCTGGTGATCCTCCCAACTCAGTAACTCTAGTGCTGGGTATTAAAACTCTGTGCCACTACCACCAGTCTCAAAAGGGTCTTGCTTTATTTTCTTTGAAACAAGTCTCATGTACCTTAGCCTCACTTCAAACTCTTATGTCGCTACAGTTGGCCTTTTAACTCCTGATCCTCCAAAGTGCTAGGGTTACAGATGTGTGCCACCATTCTCACTAAACCTGAATGCTGGAATTACAGGCATGTACAAACATGTATGGTCATTATAAAAAAAAAAAAAAAAAGTATGCCTTTAATCCCAGGCCCCAGAGGGCAGAGGCAGGTGGACCTCTGTAAGATTGAGGCCACCATGGTCTACATCATGCCTTCCAGGCATGCTGGGACTAGGGAAATCCTGTTAAAAAAACAAGCAAAAAAAAACTTTGGCGGGGGAGGTGCACAGGTATGCGGATGTCAGTGGACAATCACAGTTGTCAGTCCCCACCTTCTACCTTAAGACAGGGTTTTCTTACTGCAATACAACAAGCTATCTCCACCTCCTATCTCACACCACAGGGGCCCTGGGATTACAGCCTCCCTGTAGTCCTGGCTGTCCTGGAATTTGCTATGTAGACATGGCTGGCCTCAGACTGAGAGATCATCTGCCTCTGCCTCCTGAGTGCTGGGACTGAGATTAAAAGTGTGGGCCACCACACCTGACCATTTTTCAAATTCAGAGAATGAGAAGAAAAATAATTGTCACTGTTTGGTATTGATTACCAATGGAATACTACTTTTCTGAATGATACTCATTTAATCTCTTTCAAGATCAAGCTTAATAAAACAAGCATTAAGCTTAATATTCATCACCAAAATGTAGAATAAATTTCAAAAATCCCAAGTGTTGTGGGCTGGAGAGTTAGCTCAGCAGTTAAAAGCACTGGCTGCTCAACTGGGCGTGGTGGCGCACGCCTGTAGTCCCAGCACTTGGGAGGCAGAGGCAGGTGGATCTCTGTGAGTTCAAGGCCAGTCTGGTCTAAATAGTGAGTTCCAGGACAGCTGGGGCTACAGGGACACCCTGCTTCAAAAAGATAAAAAAAAAAAAAGCACTGGCTGCTCTTGCAAAGGACTGAGGTTCAATTACTAGCACCCACATGGAGGCTAACAACCATCCATAACTCCAGTTCCAGGGGATCCAATGACCTCTTCTGACCTCCATGGGCACGTGTTTTATACATACAGGCAATACACTCATGCACATAAAATAAATATTAGCCAGGTGCCTTTATTCCCAACACTCTGAGAGGCCAGCCTGGTCTACATAGTGGGTTCCAGGCCAGCTGGGGCTACAGGGAGACCCTGTCTCAAAAAAACCACAAAATAATAACAATATTTTTTAAAATCCTAAGTGTTGGGGCTGAGGGTTTAGCTCAGTGGTTGAGCGCTTGCCAAAAGCGCAAGGCCCTGGGTTCGGTCCTCAGCTCTAAGAAAAAAAAAAAAATCCTAAAAAATCCCAGTGTTATTCTAAATTTCTGGTTAATTACTTAAACTATTATACAACAGTGAGTTTTGCAACAAAAACCTTACCCAGAACACTGGCTCTTTACCATGTTGTACAACTCTATCCTAATAAAATCTAAAGAGATTTCTAAAATTATGATTTTGTTTTTCTGTGTGTACACAATGTATGTTTAGGCACATGTACCATGGCATTATATGAATCTCAGAGGACAACTTATCTCTTTCCTTTTACCTTTACATGGGTTCCAGAAACCAAACTCAGGGTCAGACTTGTATGGAAAGAATATTTACCTTCTAAGCATCTGGCCAGTCATAAAAGATTTTTTTTTTTTTTTTGTCTTTTTGAGACAGGGTCTCCCTGTAGCCCCAGCTGTCCTGGAACTCACTATGTAGACCAGGCTGGCCTTGAACTCAGAGATCCACCTGCCTCTACCTCCCAAGTGCTGGGATTAAAGGCGTGTGCCACCACGCCCGGCTATAAAAGATTTTTTAAACTCTTCATCTAATTACATTAATTTATTTTGTCTGTCTGTCATACAAGATTGCAGTGCTTGTATGTGGAGGTCAGAGGACAACTTTAGAGCAGTCAGTTCTCTTCTTCCACCATATAGGTCTAGGGGAAAGGTGGTCAGGCTTAGTGACAAGCGCCTTTACCTGCTGAGTCATCTTGAAGGCTCTAAACTCTAGGGGCTAAAGTGATGGCTCAACAGTTAAGAGCACTGGCTGCTCTTGCAGAGAGCCTGGGTTGGGTTCCCAGTACCCACAGGAGCTAACAACTGTCTCCAGTTCCAGAGAATCTGACACTCTCTTCTAACCTGCTCAGACATTGCACAACATAGATGCGCTCACATATATGCAGGCAATATACTCACACACATTAAAAAAAAAAGTATCGGGGCTGGAGAGATGGCTCGGTGATTGAGAGCACTGCCTGCTCTTGCAGAGGACCCGGGTTCAATTTCCAGCACCCACATGGCGGCTATGAACTGTCCTTAACTCCAGTTCCAGGGGAATCCGAAGCCCTCTTCTGACCTCCGCGGCATTGCACGACACGGGTGTACTCACATACATGCAGGCAATACACTTATACACATAAAATAAAAATAATAAAATTTTTAAAAAGTATGTCAGGTATGGTGGTGCATGTCTTTAATTCCAACACTCCAGGAGGTAGGAATCTGTGAGTTCCAGGCCAGCCTTGTCTACGTAGTGAGTTCCAGGCCAGCCTTGTCTACATAGTGAGTTCCAGGCCAGCTGGACCTATAGGGAGACCCTGTCTCTAAAAGACAAACAAAAAAAGAGGTAAAGGAAGGTAAATGGGGAACTAAGAACTGAAAGACTCTTGTTGCAAATCCTCACTTTGTAAAGTCCATAATAATTTAACAGAGGTAGCACTGTTTTCCAAAGAGTGCTCATTCCTACAAGCTAAATGTCAGCTAACAAGTGAACACAGGATCCGAAATTTGAAAATCTACCCTACTCACCTTAAGCTCTGGTGAACTTCAGAAGTACAAGACTGAAATAATTCTATGCAACAAAATACCTAAAAATACAGATCTGGGACTGGAGAGATGGCTCAGTGGTTGAGAGCACTAACTGCTCTTGCAGAGTGCTGGGGATGGTATCCCAGTACCCATATGGAGGCTCACAACCTTCTGTAACTCCAGTTCCAGGGGATCCAACAAACATCCTCTTCTGGAATCTCACGGGATCAGGCACACAGGTGCTACACATACAAACACTCACACACATTAAAAAAAAAAAAAGTCTTTAAAAAAAACCACATTTTTAGCTGGACATGGTGCACTTAGGGTTAGTGATGCTAGCACTTACAAGGCCAGAGGGAGGAGGATGAAGAGTTTGAGGTGAGCCCGGGCTATGCAAAATAGAGGACGGCAAGGAGAAAATGGGCCCTGGTAGACTACTGATCCATCGACATGTTTCAAAAGATCTAAAACAAAAAGCTTATTTCAAATATTTGCATGTTATGACAAGATAAGCTTTCTTATTTACTAGCCATTCCAACTATTTGAAACTTCAAGATAAAATGTCTGACAACAGACCTCTTTATTATGAAGACAAAGCACAAACTAAAACGAGCATATTCATTCTTTGTCTGGCAATAAACACTGAGATGTGACTCTGTATTCTGTTTAATCATCAGTCTTTACTGGACAAGAATTAGGGTAGAGCAGAGCTAGGTACTTCTGATCCACAATAGACAAAATCCCAGCAACCCCTCAAATGTTCACCTCAGAGATGAGCAACAATTACAATGGGCACAATGTCATCCACAGTATAATTCCATCACCACAGACATTACAAAGCCAGCTTCACCCACTTGATTTTTGATGCCGTCACCAAATGAAACACATTTCAGATCCTGGGACCATTCTTAAAGAATACATTCTTCTGACACTAAAGAAAATGTGTAATACATTGCTTAATTTTCCCATAACTTCCAATTCAGTACAAAGCCAGCAAATCAAAAGATATTTGTAAACAAGATGCTCCTCCTGCCAAAAAGACTTTAATATTGTTATTTCTGATACCAACAGAAATGTTCTTCGTATTCATTTATACTTCAAAGCAAAAATATTACTTCTAACCTAACCAACCACATCCACTTTCACTATGGTCTTCAATATTCAAAACTGGCTTTAAACTTAAAACTCTTTGCAAACCAAAGGGTACATAGGTGGTTGGAAGTAAAATCTGATAAAACAACAATTGCAGTGACATTATTTCTCTGTGTAGTCGACCTAAATATTTAGGAATACTGATTTTTATGAATATTTATTAAGAACATGTAGACTAGGCATTAGATTTAAAACTGGACCCCACATTTTAGGGAGAGGTAGCTAACACCATACATTGTTACTAACAGAACACTACAGAAGAAAGCATTTGTTCAAACTGAATGTCGAGATGGCCTTCTGTAATGCCAGTGATTTCAGAGGCTCCAGAGTTCAAAGCCAGCCTGACAAGACCGTATCTCAAAAAAAAGGAAAAAAAAACAAACAACAAAGACAACAACAACAAAAAAACCCAACAAATGGAATAATGGAGTGGCTCTCTGCAAAACGAAGCAAAGCCCTATCAATACTGGCACTGGATTCTAGCACATGATCCACAGTGACCTAATAAAATGAAGTTTTATACCGAAAAATAGTAGCAACAAGTCCCAAACTTTCAATATGCAGTCAGTCAAAACATTTAACATGTCAAAAAGTAAAAGCAGCCTAAAGTGCACTGCTAGTAGCATGTAACAATCCATACCCACCATGTTTTCTAGAGCCTCCCATTTCTACCTGACAGATTTAACATCAAACTTTAAATTATGCATTACAACCCATAAAATGACCAACACTTAATCGAGCATAAGAAAGTGTTAAAAATGCAACCCGTTCTGATAAAACTGCCCAATACTAAGCACATCCTTGTGAACTCAAATACACTGAAGTTACTTTCCTTCAAAAATTATATTATCATGTTATGTGAACAGTTCTTCCAAACTTTTAATATTCTTTGAAAAATGTCTAAACACAATCACTTTCCACCAAATTAAAAAAAATCTCCATCTCATCAAAACATACCAAATTTCAAAAACAAGTACATAGGTCTTATATTTCTATTAATTTTTAAAAAATTGTTTTTTCCCAACTGCAAAAGCACTGAAATTCTTTAACAGTATACACTGGTTAACAAAATCCCCAGCACATTCTTGTTGCTAAGACTGTATTTCGCAAAAAATTATTTCAAACCCTCCAAGAAGCTCTGAGAAATAGTTCATTACACAGCCTCTCCGTCCAGCAAGACTTCGGTTATCAACCTATATTTCTCTCAGTAAATTATACAGGCTACCATCAACCTAACACACAATGGTTCCTGCCGCCTGCCCACTAGAAGCGGACTCTGTGAATCTTGCAGTCAGGAAGGCTTTTAGGACCCAGAAATCCCTCCAAACAAGGCCTGCAATTCTCAACATACACTACCAAAATGAAATGAATCTTCAGCACTTGAGCAGCACACGCGGGAGCTCTTCAATCTTTCATTAAAGCATACACCGAATCCACGCACTTACTAACGGCCACTGCACTATTGGTCCACACCCGGTCCCTAACCTGCAGATCCTCAAAGGCCCGCCCATCTATTTCACGTGGCTGCAAAGTGGCGCCGCCCACCTTCCAAGGTACACCACTACTTGAGGTTACCGCCCCCCTCGCCCCGTGCTCCTAACACCTCCTCCCCAAGGGGGCAGTAAAGGTGCAGTTCACAGCAGCCCCTTCCCTATTAGGGGACCAAAGGCCTGTCCTTCGAGCTACAATACTCCAACCTCTCACCCCCTGCTCCCGAGCGGTTCCCAAACAGCATACAGTCCGGAGCTCGTACCCTCGCAAGCACTTCACTGCACCAACCCCCTTCAGGCCACCGCGGCAGCAGGTTTTGCGTCTCCCTCCAACCCAGGTGTCTCCGTTTCGCTAGTAGTAGGCCACAGGGCTCGCCTCTCCACTTCCGGGCAGAGGCGTGAGTTCACGGCACCACTCGGAGCCCCACGAAGCCTCGCCAATCCTGGTCCTCACCGCAAACCCCCCCCCCCCCCCCCCCCAGGGGTTAGAAGGCCGGGGGGCCTCAGGGGACCGGCCGCTTCCCCCCCCCGGCCCCCCAGGGCGCCCCCACGGCGGCCCGCCCGCCCCCCCCCCCCCACCCCCCCAGCGCGCGCGGCTCAGAGGACCGGCCGCTTCCCCCCGTCGGACCACCAGGGCGTCCCCACTGCGGCCCGCCGGCTCCTCCTCTCGCATCCCCCGAGGCTGCAGAGGCGTGGTGGGCGCCCCAGGACCCCTGCAGCCGGCCCCGGCCCTTTGTGTTCGGCCGCGGGCTCCGAGGCCTGGGAAGGCCCCGCCCCAAGCCACCGAGGAGGCGGCTCGAGCCCCGCACAGCCCCGCCCGTTCCGGGGCTGCGGGAGTCTTACCGAGGAGAGCTTGCGCGGCACCAGAACCCAGACCCGAGTTACCCCCCGCGCGAGTGCCTCTGCCCCGCGGCTGACAGTTCCAGCCCGAAGGGCTTCCCGGCGCCCACTACAGCCAACACCTCCGCTGCGCTTCACAAAATGGCCGCCCGCCCGCTCGGCGTTCCAGCAGGGGGCCCGACGGGGCAGTGACGTCACGGTGGGCGGCGCAGGCGCAGAGGTCTCCGAAGCAGCAGGTGCTTGGGACCAGAGGGGCTTTTTAACCCCTTTTGCGACGTCTGCTTCCAAAACCAGGCCTCAGAAGGGTGTCTGAGGCCTCCAACCTTCACTGCTCACCTTGTCCAAATTGCTTTGGTTCTTTGATTCTGTGAAAGTAGCGAAACCGTGCCTACACTGCAGAATTCCTTGAGGATCAAACGGACAGGAAATAGTAGCTACTTTATTGATAAAGTACTGACCAGAGCAAAAACCTGATCCTTTTTGCCCCCGTTTAAATATTTCAGCCAGGTTGAAGAAATGGCTCCGTGGTTAAAAGCACTCACTGCTCTTACAGAGGACCCAGGTTCAATTCCCAGCATCCACATGGTGGCTAACAACCATCCTTGACTCCAATTCCAAGGGATCCGATGCCCTCTTCTGACCTCCATAGGTACTGCACAGCACGTGTGAAGTTACATACATGCAGGCAATTTACTCATACACATAAAAATAATTAAAAAAAAAAAAATTTCAGCCAGCAGGGCATGGTGTTGCACACCTTTAATCCTAGCAGAGGCAGGCGGATCTCTGTGAAATCGAGGCCAGCCTGGTATCCACAGTGAGTTCAGGCCAGCTGGAGCAACTGTCCCAAACAAAAAATTTTAGCTGAGTGTGGTGGCCCACATAATCCCAGTGCTTGGAAGGTGAAGGCAGGAAGATCAGGAGTTTAACTCCGTCCTCGGCTATTTAGGGAATTCCAGCCAGCCAGACTGGGCTACATGAGACCCTGTATGGAGAGTGGGGGAAAAAAATTACACACACACACACACACATATGCATACACACACACACACACACATACACACACACAAACTCAGGGTTGGAGGTATAGCACAGTTGGTAGAAGCTTGCCTAGCATGCACGAACCATTGGTTGGAACGCGGGTGCCAAATATTCGGGCAAGCCTGAAATGCAAGCACTGGCTGATCTTGCAGAGGACTGGGGTTTGAGTCCCAGCATCCACATGGCAGTTAACAACCATTGGTAACTCGGGCTCCAAGGGAATCCTACGTCCTCTTCTGACCTCCGAAGGCAATGCATGACATAGGTGCACTTCATACATGCACTCACATACATGCACGACATGGGTGCACTTCATAGACACTAAATAAAAATACCAAAAAAAAAAATTTTTTTTGAGACAGGGACTCCCTGTAGCCCCAGCTGGCCTGGAACTCACTATGTACACCAGGCTGGCCTTGAACTCACGGAGATCTGCCTGCCTCTGCCTCCCAAGTGCTGGGACTAAAAGTGTGGGCTACCATGACCAGCTAGGAAAAAAAAAATTTTTTTGTGGTCTTTTTGAGACAGGGTCTCCCTGTAGCCCCGGCTGTCCTGGAACTCACTATGTAGACCAGGCTGGCTTTGAACTCACAGAGATCCACCTGCCTCTGCTTCCCTAGTGTTGGGATTAAAGGCGTGTGCCACCACGCCTGGCAGAAAATATTTTTTAAAAAGAGAAAGAGCCAGGAAAACTATTTTTTTTTTTTTTATTTTTTCAATCTTCAAATTAAAAACTTTTAAGGAAATAAACATAAATTAAGAATAGTGGGTGGAGTCATATAGGTATTTCCAACTCCAATAAATCAGAAGGAAGGTAAGAACAAAATGGGATGCTTGGGCTACTGTCAACAAGAAGATGCCCACTGGTGCTGCAGAAAAATATTAAATCAAAGTTGATTATGCTTGTTGCTGAAGGTGCCAGTCCAGCTGAGCAGCAGAAAGCAATGATTCAAATGTTCACACAGAAAATAAGTCTTCAAACACAGAGCCTGCTTCAGTTCTTCTTGTTCTCCTCACTGACAGATCCAGCAGCAATATCTTAGCCAATGCCCCTAGCTCCTCAGATAAGAATGTTCATATACTAGAAGGCCTGAGAAAAACCCTGAAGAAAAGGATGGCTATTTCCCTACAAAAGAGCTGAGCTAGAGAAAAATACTTTCCTTGTGTTTCTGACTTGAAACGATGCTGTGGTGAAGCTGACTTGCCTATTCCAACTCTGTGGTTTGACCATGGACCACCCACTGGGTGGACAAGGTTCCTGGCTGTGCATGGGTCAGTGAGGCAGGAGGGCCCAGTCAGCACAAGTCACAGGTCCACTCTTCTAATGCTGGGTCCACTTGATGCTCTTGAGGTCAATGCCATCCTGCACCATCTCCCAGAGAGGACTGCCAAAGAGAAGAGGCATTGAATGAGTAAGGGCTTAGATAGGAAGCAGCAAATACTGCCTCTCAGGCCCTGAGCAATGACTTGTCTTCTTCTTCCTTGTATATTTTCTGTCTTTTACCCTGGTGAATTCTCACACAGGAAGTTAACAGGTCTTTCCCAGCTTTCTGTTACTCCTGGTCAATTCTACCCTTTGCCCAACTACCATAAATTGAAATAAGTAAATACTCCAGGCTTAGCCCAGGGGAACCCTAAGTCTACGGATTAAAGATGTGGTTATACTCTTAAAGCTCCCATCTCACCAGTGACAGGCTATAGCTAAATCTTCATGGGGAAAATAGTATTGATCTATATAAACAGCAAGTTTCAGCCTTTCTACTAATGCCAACAATACATGAACTTTATTTTGGCTTCTGTTTCTGGGTTTTCATTGGTTTCTGAGCCTAGAACTTGACTCAGTAACATTTGGGCATGCAGTGTCCTTACCCAGGTCTGCCATTTTCATCTCCCCTGTACTTCCAACATGGAGGGCTTTAACCCTAAAGAGTGTTTGGGATTGGGGCTAGAGATGTCTCAGCACTTAAGAAAACTTGCTGTTCTGGGGCTGAAGAGATAGCTCAGCAGTTAAGAACACTGACTGTTCTTGCAGAAGACCCGTCCTCCAATCCCAGCACCCACATGGCAGCTAACAACTGTAACTCCAGTTCCAGTCTCTTCTGTCCTCCGCGGGCATTGCACAACACAGGTGCACTTACCTACATGCAAGCAATACACACATACACATAAAATAAAAATAAAATGGTTAAAAAAAAAAAGAAAAGAAAAAGAAAAGAAAACTTGCTGCTTATCCAGAGGATCCGGGGTTGATTCCCATCACCCACATGGTGGCTAACAACCATCCATAACTCCAGTTCCAAGGGATTCAACACCCTCTTCTGGCCTCTACAGGCAGTGCACACACATGGTGCGCTTACATGCAGGCAAAACACTCATATACATAAAATACTTAATAAATAAAATATTTTTTTAAAAAAAACAATGTTTTGGATCTTAGATCTGAATATTCCGACTTACTGAAGAACTGCTACAGAGAAATCTGTGCTTTGAGGAATCATTAAACCCTAAAACTTTTCTTTCCGGCAGTATGAAAACAAAGCCTAAGGACCAGAAAGGAATCAGCAATACTGTTTCTTGTACAAGATCTGTGATGCAACAGGGCATACCTCATTTCTCGAAGACGTTTCACATGTTGAATGCATTTCTCCACAGTGTAGTCTACTTCCTCTTCTGTAGTGAAGCGGCCAATGCCAAACCTACGAAGATACAGGAAAGCTGGGCACAGTGGCATGTGCCTTTAATCCCAGCACAGGCAGGTGGGTCTCTGAGTTTGAGGCCAGTCTGTTTTACATATCAAGTTCCCGGTCAGCCAGAGCAATATAGTGAGAACTTGTCTTAAAAATTTTTTAATTGGGGGCTGGAGAGATGGCTCAGCAGTTAGGAACACTTCGTTCTTGCAGAAGACCCAGGTTCGAATCCCAGCACCCACATGCAGCTACCAACTGTCTGTAACTCTAGTCCCAGGAGATCCAACAGCCTCTTCTGACCTCCATGGGCACCGCACGACATGGGTGCACTTACCTACATGCAGGCAATACACGCATACACATAAAATAAAAATAATAAATAAAAATTTAAAAAAATTTTTTTTGGGGGGGCTGGAGAAATGGCTCAGAGGTTAAGAGCACTGACTGTTCTTGCAGAGGACCTAGATTTGATTCTCAGCACCCACATGGCAGCTACAAACTGTCCTTAACTCCAGTTCTAGGGGAATCCGAAACCCTCTTCTGACCTCCGTAGCACTGCATGACACAGGTGTACTTACTTACATGCAAGCAATACACTCATACACATAAAAAATAAAAATAATAAATAAAATATAAAAATTTTTTTAATTAATTTATTTTTAGTTTATGTGTATGAGTATTTTGCCTGCATGCATGCATATACCACATACCTGCAATGCAATGCCCACAGATGCCAGAAGAGAGTTACAGATGGTTGTTAGCCACTATATAGGTGCTGGGAATTGAAGCCAGGTCCTCTGCAAGAGTAGCCAGTACTTGTAACCAATGAGCTATTTTTCTAGCCCCATGGCTGGTTTTTAGATGCATGTGGGTGCTGGGACCAAACCACAGGTCCTCTGCAAAAGCACCCAGTGCTCTTAACCTCAGTACAGGCTAGAGTGATGGCTCAGCAGTAAAGAGCACTGGCTGCTCTAGCAGAAGACCAAGGTTGAGTTCCCAGCACCCATATCTAAAAATCAGCTGTAACTCTAGTTCTGGGGAATTCAATGCCCTCTTTTAGTTTCTGGGGGTACTGTATAACATGGATGTGCTTAAATACATACAAGTAAAACACACACATTAAAAAAAAATAAATGAATTAATTACTTTAAAAAATTAAAGGGGCTGGAGAGATAGCTCAGAGGTTGGGAACACTAGTTGTTCTTGTAGAAGACCTGGGTTCGAATCCCAGCACCCACATGGCAGCTAACAACTGTCCATAACACCAGTCTCAGGGGATCCGACAGCCTCTTCTGACCCACGGGCATTGCATGGCATGGGTGCACTTACCTACATCCAGGCAATACACTCATACACATAAAATTAAAATAACAAAACATTTTTTTGAATTAATTAAAAGAGGAGAAGACACAGGGACACTCTGCATTTAAGCTGGCAATAGTGTAATTTGAAGGGGCCAATACACATGAAGACCTAGTACAAAAAGACAAAGGGGGCTGGGGACGTAGCTGAGTTTGTAGAGTGCTTGTATAGTATGCATGAAGTCCTGGGTTTGATCCCAGCACTGCATAAACTGGGTATGATGGTGGACTCCTGCAATTCCAGCACTCAGCAAGTAGAGGGAAGACAATCAAGGTCATCCTTAGGCTACATATAGAGTTGGCAGCCAACCTGGGGTACATGATACCCTATCTCAAAAAGAAAAAGAGACAAGCCAAGTATGGTGGCGTACACCTTTAATACCAGCATTCGGGAGACAGAGGCAGGTGGATCTCTGTGAGTTCGAGGCCAGCCTGGTCTACACAGTGAGTTCCAGGACAGCTGGGGCTACAGGGAGACCCTGTCTCAAAAAAAAAAAAAAAAAGAAAAGAAAAAGAGACAAAGAGAGAGAAGACAAAGACAGGGAAGAAAAGAACAAGAAAAGAAAGAAAACTTTCTACGTCAAAGTTTTTTTTTATAACATGGTCTGTGGATCAGAATCACCTGAGAAGTTTCCTACTCCTCAGATCCAGTGAAAGAGAATATCTGGGACTCAGACATCTTCATCTTTATGAAGAATTAAGAAGGGGGCTGGTAATATAGCTCAGTTGGCAGAATGCTTTATGAGCACATATGAAGCCTTGAAGTTGATGCCCAGCACTATACAAACCAGGCATGGTGGCACACACCTGTGATCCCAGCACACCAGAGGTGGAGGCAGGAAGACTGAATTCAACGCCAGTCTGGGTACCTAGCAAGACCCTGAATACACACACATACACAAACACATACTGCAGCTAAACTCACTGACCTGATGGAAGAGTGTGCTAAATCCTCATCAGTGCCGATCGCTCTTAGGACATAAGAGGGCTCCAGTGATGCAGAAGTGCAGGCACTGAGGACGGAAACAGGAATCTTTTAGCCATTAACCCCGAGTCTTGCTCCTTCCTCCTAGGGCCCTGAAATCATATCATAGTGACATAGAGATGTAGCCTGGTGGTGCTAATGGCCCTGATGATACCTTGTGCATCCTGGGATATAAACCTAGCTCCTCTGCTCCTATGCTGAATAGTGTCCTTGAGCAAAGACACTGTCAAAAGGTAAAAGAGCAAGATCCTTCATGCACTGGATCTGACAAAAAGAGGCAACAGAGAACCTTCTGCATCCAGGACCATGACACAATGTATAAACCTGGAAGGCAGATGAACCTTTCCTGGCCTCTGACAGATCTGCTAGTTTAACCCTACAAAAGATACATACCAGCCTGGCCTGGTGGCACACACCTTTAATCACAGCACTCAGGAAGCAGAGGCAGGTGGATCTCTGTGAGTTCAAGGCCCGCCTGGTCTACATAGTGAGTTCCAGGACAGCTGGGGCTACAGGGAGCCCCTGTCTCAAAAAGAACAAAAAAAAAAGATACATACATCTCTTGCAACCACAAAGTCATCAATTTTTCCCTAAGGAAGACTTGCTAGGATAGAAAACTTCACCCTGTACCCTCCCAGCTAAAAAATGACCTTTACCGTGAATCAACAGCCCCTGTGTCTGTCTTCTCCATACCAGAAAACTCAAAACATATATGGTGCATAAAAGCCAAGCTAACTGATAGGACTACAGTGCCTGTCTATCTAGTCCAACTCACCTCCCTGAGGATAAAGCGACATCTTTGAGTGCCATCAGCAGACTCTCCCCTTCCACATATGCAAAGGAGAGGTTGATACAGCCTATAGAAGAGAGAAAAACATGGTGACAGGGAGCCCAGGCTCTCAGCCTATGCCAGAATGGAAATGGAGAGCTGGGGATAGAGCTCAGGGGAGAGTTTGCCTAGCATGAGTGAGGCAAACACTGCAAAAACAAATTTGTTAGGGTTAGGTATGGTGACATACCTTTAATCCCTGCAATTGGGAGGCAAAGGCAGGCTATCTCTGAAAGATGGAGACCAGCCTGGTCTACATAGTGATGTTCCAGGCTAGCTGGGGCTCAAAAAAAAAAAAAAAAAATTTCTTTTCACCGGGCATGGAGAGATGCCTCAGCAGTTAAGAGCACTGGCTGCTCTTGCAGTGGAACTGGGTTCAGTTCCTAGCACCCACATGGTGGTTAACAACCATTTGTAATTCCAGTTCCAGGGGATCTGACGCCATCTTCTGACCTCCGTGGGCACTGCATGACATGGGTGCACTTAAAATACATGCAGGCAATATGCTCCTACAGATAAAATAAAAATAATATGCCGGGCGTGGTGGTGCACACCTTTAATCCCAGCACTCGGGAGGCAGAGGCAGACGGATCTCTGTGAGGTCAAGGCCAGCCTGGTCTACAAAGTGAGTTCCAGGACAGCTGGGGCTACAAGGAGACCCTGTCTCAAAAAAATGTATCTACAGCTCATAATAATATTTTTTAAGTTTTTAATTGAATTTTTGTGTATTTCATGCAGAACATCATCTTTATACCCTTTCCCCTTTGGCATCCTCCCCAATTTTTTTTTTTCTAAAGGAAAACAGCATTATGGGAGGAGGAGGTTACTATTTGGCTCAGCTTGCTGAGGAAGCCTGTCTTGTGTTTAATTCCCAGAAAGTACATAAAGTTGGAAGAAGAGAATCAACTCCACAAGGTTGTCCTCTGACCTCTACAAGTGCACAGTGGCATGTGTGCCCCACCCACATATACATAATATATAAAAATAATTTTTGTTTGTTTTGAGACAAGGACTCATTATGTAGCCCTGGCTGGCCTGGAACGTACTATGCAGACCAGGATGGCCTCTAACTCAGAGAACCACCTGCCTCTGCTGAGATTAAAGGCATATGCCACCACATCCAGCCATAATAAATAAAGTTTAAAAAGAAAAAATGGGAATCGAAAGCGCATGTCCTTACCAGGGTAGTGCTGTTTGGGGTCCCCATTCATCACCACCTCTGGAAGGCTCTTCATTATCTTCTGGATCAGTCGCTCTGATAACTTTGAGATCCGCTTGTGGTCATACTAAGGAGCAGGCAGGAAAGGATTAAGCACAGTGACCACCAACGGCCTCAGTGACAGAGTTTCAGAAGCCCTTCTCCAGCCAGGAATGATTGCGTATTAAACGGACCTTGTATTACCCTGTTACTTGTGGAGACCACAGCATCTCCAGCACTGAGTACAGTGTCTAATGTGCAAAAGGTGCTTAGGAATGAATACAAGGTTCCAACAACCTACAAACAAACGGACTGTTAACTCCAGACAGGGAAGGGCTTCAGAGCAGCTAACATTTTCAGAACAATATAGACAAGATAGGGTTTAATTTAAGTAATTAATTTATTTATGTACTGAGGATTGAAGCCAGGGCCTTGCACATCTAAGTAAGTACTCTACTACTAACCTAGCCCTTTATTTTGTATCTTGCTATATAGGCAGAGTGGGCCAGCAGCTTCTTCTGCCTTGACCTCTCAAGCAGCTAGGATTACAGGCTTAGGAAGCCACACCCAGCACCAAAGCAGGGTTTTCTTGAACCCCCTCTTCCAGCAGAGCTCTGACTCAGTTATGCTGAGATGACTCTAAACAGGAGATCCTGCATAGGATAAGAGATGAGAGGGGATTGATCTCCCCATACCTACCTCCATCTCCTGTTGTGCCACTTCACATGCAGCTCCCAGACCCACCACCAAGGGTGTGGGCACTGTCCCAGACCTCATACCCCGTTCTTGCCCGCCTCCACTCTGCAGAGCCTCCACACGCACTCGAGGTCTACGGCGGATGTAGATGGCACCAACGCCTGGGAAACAAAGTTTGTTATAAAAAAAGAGGTGGATGAAACAAAATTATCACTTTAAAAAAAAATATTTTATGCCAGGCGTGGTGGTGCATGCAGAGGCAGAGGCAGGTGGATCTCTGTGAGTTCAAGGCCAGCCTGGTCTACAGAGTGAGTTCTAGGACAGCTCGGGCTACAGGGTGACCCTGTCTCAAAAAAAAAAAAATTATTTATTATTTTTATTTTATGTGTATGAGTGTATTGCCTGCATGTAGGTAAGTGCACCCGTGTTGTGCAATGCCCATGGAGGACAGAAGAGGCCGTCGGATCCCCTGGAACTGGAGTCATGGACAGCTGTTAGCTGCCACGTGGGTGCTGGGATTCGAATCCAGGTCTTCTGCAAGAACAACCAGTGTTCTTAACCACTGAGCCATCTCTCCAGCCCCCCCTTTAAGGATTTTTTTAAAGGAAGAATGGCCTGCTATATGCATAATGACTAATTGGATTTCCAAGGAGGCAAGTGTTTTTAACTATTGCTGAATGACTCTTGCATAGTCCAGGCCACTCTAAATTTAGCTCCTCCCAGAGCTAGCATAATCTCAAATGACTGTGAAGAGCATCTGTTAAGGGGTTTGCTGAGAAGTTCAGAGAAGAGAAAGGGGTTGGTACCTTTAGGACCATAGATTTTGTGACCACTGATGCTCATGAGATCAATTTTCATGTCATTGACATCAAGTGGGATTTTTCCAACAGCTTGGGCTGCATCAGTATGGAAATATACCTTTCTGGAACTGCAAATCTGCCCTAAGGAAACAACAGAGGGAAAGATAAAGAGCATAGTGAAAGCAACCTGGCAGTGGTCCCAAAAGGCACCACCAATAATCTCTACCCATAGTGAATACTAATATTGCAAGTAAGTCCTCTCTTCCTCCCTGCCTCATCCATTTCAACATTCCCCTTCCCCTCACACCTCCCTCCCTGCTCCCTGGCCTCTGCTATTACTCTATAGATCAAGGATAAAACACTCATGGAGGGGCCAGGGATGGTGGCGCAAGCCTTTAATCCCAGCACTTGGGGGGTCAGAGGCAGGCAGATCTCTGAGTTCAAGGCTAGCCTGGTCTACATAGTGTTTAAGGCCAGCTGGGGCTCCAGGGAGACCCTGTCTCACAAAGACCAAAAAAAAAAAAAAAACCCACAAACATTCATGGAGGCTAGAGAGAGAGATAGCTCATAAGAGCAATTGTTTGCTCTTCCAGAGGACACATGTTCAGTTCCCAGCACCCACATGGTGGCTAACAACTGTTCTTAACTCCAGTTCCAGAGGATCCAACACCCTCTACTGGCTTCTGAGGGCACTGCACACACGTGGAAAACTTACATGCAGGCAAAACACACACAACAGAAATAAATAAATGAAAAAAAATAAAAAAAAACACATGATAATTCTGAGAGTCCTGTTTGTTTTGTGACAGGGTCTCCCTGTAGCCCCAGCTGACCTGGAACTCTCTATGTTGACCAAGATGACCATCACACCCTACTATATTCTGATACCTAAGATTCTTCATTCCCTTTTGATATTTAACATTACCTTTTTTTTTTTCTTCTGTTTTTGGTTTTTTTGAGACAGGGTGTCCTGTAGCCTCAGCTGGCCTGGAACTAGCTATGTAGACCAGGCTGGCCTTGAACTCAGAGATCTGCCTGCCTCCCAGTGTTGGAATTAAAGGAGAGCACCACCATGCCCACCCCAGCCCAGCTTTAACATTACCTTTTAGAACTTTTTTATTTAAAAGAAGGAAAGATTAACACAGTCTTTTCCTTAACATGTGTAAAGATATTATGTGGTATACTCTAAGTGAGGATAATGAATGTTCTAAAGGAAAAAGGGGTCCGTAACTTTTTTCCTGCTGTTTTATTGACATTTTGGGCAAAAACTGCAATGCAATGAAAAAAAAATCACAAAGGGCACTAGACCTAAATTCAATAAATTAGTGGCATAGGTGTACTTACCTACATGCAGCCAATACACACATACATATAAAATAAAAATAAATAAAATATCAAATAGTGGGGGCTGGGAAGATAGCTTAGTGGTTAAGAGCACTTGCTGTTCTTCCAGACTTTAGTTACCAGCCCACATTGGGTGGCTCACAACCACTACCACCTCCAACTCTACCTGAGGGGATCTAACATCCTCCCTCTTCTGGCCTCCTCAGGTACCTGCATACACATAAATATAAATAAAAATAAATCTTTTTTAAAATTTCAGGGGCTTGTGAGTTGGCTCAGTGAGTAAAGGTACTGGCTATGCAAGCCTGGCAACCTGAGTTCAATCCCCTAAACCCACGTAAAGGTGAAAGGAGAGAACAGACTCCACAGAGTTGTCCTCTGACTTCCACAGTCACACCATGGCACAAGCCACTCCCCACATGCTTTAATAATAATAAAGTGTGTGCTGGATAACTTTAGTGTCAACTTGACACACCTGGGTTGAGGGAGCCTCAGTGATGGAATTTCCTCTATTGGACTGGCCTGTGGCCATGTCTGAAGGGCATCTTCTTGATGAGTGATGTGGGAGGGCCCAGCCCACTGTGAGTGGTGCCACCCCTGGGCAGGTGGGCCTGTGTTGCATAAGAAAGCAGGCTGAGCAGGGGCCAGGGGAGCAAGCCTGTAAGCAGCGTTCCTCCATGGCCTGTGCTCCAGCTCCTGCCTCCAGGTTCCTGCCCTGAGTTCCTACCTTGGGCTCCCTGATGAACTGCGACCTGGGAGTTGTAAGACAAATAAACCCTTTCCTCCCCAAGTTGGTACTGGTCAGAGTGTTTTGTCACAGCAATAGAGAACAAACTAAGACAAAGTGTTACATTAGAATTTAATTTAAAAAATTTAAATAATGGCTGTTCTACTTAATATGTGAGTGAACAAGGTAGTTAAAGTCTCTTTCCCTTCATTTTCTCATTGTGTACTATAGAGTTAGAACTCCTAGTCTACACCAGTTGCCTTAGATGGACCCCAGTGATTGACCCTAGTAGGTTGACCATAGAGTCAAGGTTAACCTTACAATACGCACCTATTTCTGCAATTGGCTGCTTTACTCCAATCTCATTGTTCACAGTCATAATAGAGACCAGGCTGGTATCTGGCTGGATGGCAGCTTCTAGTTCCTAAGAATATGTAGGATTAAGAAGTCTATAGGGTGTCAAGAGAACACAGGCAACCTCAGTCTAGAAAAGGGGTCTTTCCCTACAACCCTACAAGAGCTTGGGATGTAGTTCAGTGGTAAAATGCTTGCCTGGCATGTGTGAGATGCTGGGTTCAATCCCTAGTATTACAGGTTAAAAACAAACAATGACAACAAAAAATGACAATATAAAATTCCGGTAAGAATGCATAGAAATTGCCAGACATGGTGGTACATGCCCACAGGAAGATCCTGTCTCAAAAAGACGAAAAAAAGCTGGGCATGGTGGCGTATGCCTTTAATCCCAGGCCTCAGGAGGTAGAGGCAGGTGGATCTCTGTGAGTTCAAGGCCAGCCTGGTCTACATAATAAGTTCCAGGACAGCTGGAGCTACAGGGAAACCCTGTCTCAAAAAGACAGAAAAAAAAAAAAAAAAAGAGAGAGAGAGAGATGGGGTCTGGGATTAAAGGTGTGTACCACCATGCCCAGCTAATACTCTATAGAGTTTATAACAAAACAAAAAAACCATGATGGGATCTAATAAACAAGTTCAGGAAACAGGATACAAACTCAATATTGAAAAGTCAGTTGACCAGGCACTGTAGCCCATGCTTAAAATATCAGAGAAAGGAGAATCAGGAGCTCAAGATCATCCTTGAACTGGCTACATATCCAGTTCTAGGCCAACCTAGAATTCATAAAACCGTATCTCAAAAAAAAAAAAAGAGAGATCCTAATTAGACTAATTAGATTAAATGAATTCTGGGGCTGTAGAGATGGCCCAGCAGTTAAGAGCACTGATGGCTCTTGAGAAGACATTAGTTTGGTTCCTAGCACCCACATGGCGAATCCAATGCCCTCTTCTGGCCTCCAAGCGCACTGCATAATATGCATAAACTTACATACATGCAGTCAAACACTCATACATATAAAATTTAAAAAATAGCCGGGCATGGTGGTGTACGCCTTTATTCCCAGCACTTGGAGGCAGAGGTAGGCAGATCTCTGTGAGTTCAAGGCCAACCTGGTCTACATAGTGAGTTCCAGGCCAGCTGGGGTTACCGGGAGACCCTGTCTCAAAAAGACAAAACAAAATAAATAAACAAACAAACAAATAAGGGGCTGGAGAGACGGCTCAGCAATTAAGAGCACTGACTGCTCTTGCAAAAGATCCAGGTTCAAATCCCAGCACCCACATGGCAGCTAACAACTGTCCATAACTCCAGTCCCAGGGGATCCAACAGCCTCTTTTGACCTCCTTGGGAATCACATAACATGGGTGCACTTACCTACATGCAGGCAGTACACACATACACATAAAATAAAAATATAAATTAAAAAAAAAATTTGTTTTGTTTAAAAAATAATAAATAAATAAATAAATAAATAAGCCACATATGGTGGTGCATGCCTGTAGTCCCAGCACTTGGGAGGCAGAGGCAAGCAGATCTCTGTGAGTTCAAGGACAGCCTGGTCTACATAGTGAGTTCCAGGATAGCTAGCGCTACAGGGAGACCCTGTCTCCAAAAGACCAAAAAATAGTAAATAAATAAATAAATAAATATGAGTTCAAGGCCAGCCTGTCTACATAGAGTTCCAGGCCAGCTGGGGCTACAGGTCTCAAAAGACCAAAAAATAAATAAATAATAAAATTAAATTAATAGAATTCTGATTTTAGCTTTCTAGAAAGCTGCAGTGTAATAATAGCATAAGTACAGACATGTAAGTAGAATAAAGGTGTGTTCAACTTTTTTTTGTCTGTTTTTTGAGACAGGGTCTCCCTGGAGCCCCAGCTTACCTAGAACTCACTATGCAGACCAGGGTGACCTTGAGATCCCCCTGTCTCTGCCCAGTTCTAGGATTAAAGGCAAGAGCCACCACGCCAGAACCATCCAGAGTTCTGGGATAGGATTAAAGGCACGTTCCCCTACAACTATTCTATATTAAACATGCTTGGTTTTTGCAGTGCTGGGGAACAAACCTACATCCTTGCCCATGCTATGCAAGAACTCTACCACTGCTGGGCATGGTGGTGCATACCTTTAATTCCAACACTCAGGAGGCAGAAACAGGCTGATTTCTGTGAGCTCAAGGCTAGTTGGCGTACATAGTAAGTTCCAGGCCACCCAGAGATACTTAGTGAGACCCTGTCTCAAAATAACACAAAACAAAAAACAGAAGGTCTACCACTGAGCTACACTCCTCTAGCCACCATACTTCCTTCACATAGAAATAAGAAACATCAGTGAAAGGAAGGAGGAGACCAGAGCTCTGCCATGGTACAAGTCCCTGGCATCCTACACCAATTCAGTGGCTCTCAGAAAAAACAGGATCATCAACAAAGCTGAGGATCAAATTCTTCAGAGAGAAGGACACTGCACACTTAAGGAAACATGATCTCCATCCCATCCTATGCTGCACCCTCACCATTAGCTCCACCTTTAGGCTCCAGCCAGAGCTGAAGAGACAGACTTAAGAGGAAGAAGCCAGGCTCCTCCTATTTTGACCCTCATACCTACAGCCTCTACCTTTAAGTCAATGATTCCAGTCTTCTGCACTGGGAGGTAGGTGACCCGAAAGCCTTCAGCTTCCAGGGAACGGCAGGAATCCAGAACGCATTTGTGCTCAGTCTGGGTGGTGATCAAGTGCTTTTTCCGTGACCTATAGAACCTTGCCACTCCCTAAAAATTGATGATAGTGGAAAAAAAGAACAACATAGTCAGAGAGATAACAACTTGAATCCTAAAGCAGGCTTTCTGTATGTATGTGCTAAGGATGGAGCCTAGGGCCTTCAGCATACTATAGACATTCTCTGTCACTAACCACATCCCCAGCCAAATTATAATACGTTTTCTTTTGTTTTGTTTTGTTTTGTCTTTTTGAGACAGGGTCTCCCTGTAGCCCGAGCTGTCCTAGAACTCACTATGTAGACCAGGCTGGCCTTGAACTCACAGAGATCTGCCTGCCTCTACCTCCAGCTATAATACTTTTAATATCAAAAAAAATGGTAAAGATAGGCTACAAAAGTTCTTAACATTTCAAATGTTATCAGAAAAGAGTAAGAACCATTTATCTCATAAAAAGAAATCAGCCATGCGTGGTGGCACACGTCTTTAATCCCAGCAGATTAAAGGAGGAGGCAGAGGCAGGTGGATCTCTGTGAGTTCAAGGCCAGCCTGGTCTATATAGTGAGTTGCAGGACAGCTGGGGCTATAGGGAGACCCTGTCTCAAAAAAAACCAAAAAAAAGAAAAAAAAAGAAAGAAAGCATATCCAGACATGGTGGCACATACCTATAATCCCAGCACTTAGGTCATTTTCAAGAGGATGGTTGTACATTTGAGACCATCACTGTCTACACAGCCAATGAGGGTTACATAGTGAAACCATGTCTCGAAACAATGGAACCAATGAAGGAACAAAATAAAGGAAGGGAAGGAGGGAAGGACTAAAGAAGGAGGAAGGGAAGGAAATGAGGAAGTATATATGGCTGAGTGCATAGCCTGTAACAGCCACTTTGGAGGCTGAGGGAGGATCATTTGAATTTACAAATCCAAGACCAACCTAAGAAACATGATGCGATACCATCTCAAAAAAAAAAAAAAAAAAAAAAAAAAAAAAAAAAGAACAGAAAATGGGGAGATAACTCAGGCAGTAAAGTGCTTGCCACACAAGCATGAGGACCTGAGTTCAATCCCCAGTCGTGTTAAAACAAACCCAGCACTTCTGTAATTCCACTGATGGGGAGGGAGAGATGGGAAAACCCTAGGCACTTGGCTAGCCAGCCAGTTTACCCTGATTGGTGAACTCCAGGGCAATGAAAGACCCTGTCTCAAAGGAGGTGGATGGCATGTGGGAAACAACAGTGAAAGTGGTGAAGCCAGAATTGTACCTACAACAGGCCACAATTTCTAAGAGTCTTGTCATTTACTTAAGGAATCTTAGCAATCAAATGTTATTATGTTCTATGAAACATCAACATGACTACTAAGAGTGGACTTTTTTTGTTGTTGTTGTCTTTGAGACAGGGTCATCCTGTAGCCCCAGCTGGCCTGGAACTCACTATGTAGACCAGGCTGGCCTTAAACTCAGAGATTTGTCTGCTTCTGCCTCCTGAATGCTGGGATTAAAGGTGGGTACCACGCCCGGCTAATAGTGCACTTTTTGCAGAAAGCATCTGTATGCCCTAAGGATATAATGATTAATCCTAGACTGAGAGACTAAATGAATGCTGACAGTAAGCACCATAGCAACAGTCACCTCAGAATGCAGAGAAATTTTATAAACAGATCTAATCAGAAAGCAAAGGAAAAGCTGATAGGATAAATGGCCTTGAAATCAAGTGTGTAAGTGAACAAGTGAAACTGATCCTAGACTTCATTGTCACTAGGAGAAAAGCATAGAGCAAAGGATTCAGCAGTTACTATTACTCATTACCTGAAATAGCTGCCATCCTAAAAAAATATGAAACCGTTGGCCTGGAAATGAGAGTGCACACCTTCAATTCCAGCACTCGGGAGGCAGAGGTGAGAGGATCTCTGAGATCAAGGCCAACATTGTCTACATAGCAAATTCCAGGTCAGCAAGTGCTACATAGTGAGACCCTGTCTCAAAAAAGCAAAACCAAAACCAAGAGACACACACACACACACGCACGCACGCACGCACGCACGCACGCACACACACACACACACACACACACCCTTGCACTGTTTTTTTTAAAGGCTAAAGAGGCTGGTAAGATGGTAAAGCAGGTGACTGGTAAAGTCACCTGCTGCCAACCCTGACAACCTAAGTTCAATCCCTAGTTCCCAGACAGAGTCCCTGCTTCCCTTCTCTTTTTCCTTCTGTCCTTCCTCTTCCCAATACCTCTCACTAAACCACACCCTTAACCCCCTTCCTTACCTTAACTGCTATGTTGTTGGCTTCAGTAGCTCCACTAGTAAAAATGATCTCACGAGGATCAGCTCCAATCAGAGATGCTACTTGCTGAAAGTCAAGAACCAAAGATATCTATCAGCTCCCTTCAGGAATGGGGCTGCAGATAAAGCTGGAACAGGACTCTAGAGCAAGAACAGCCCCACTGCATTCTACCTGCTGCCCACAAGAAACTTACGTGAGGTGGGACTAGGGTTAAAAAAGGAACAGACTGTTACATCTTAGATTCTACCTTTTATGCATTACAAGACAAAGTAAGAATGTCAAATGTTGTGCTTTAGTCGGTAGAGTGTTTGTCTGGTATTCATGAAGTCCTGGGTTTGATATCCAGCACATGCAAAACAGGTGTGGTGGTGCACACTGGAAAAACGAGCACTTAGGAGGCCGAGACCATGAGTTTGAGGTCTGCCTGGGCTACATAATGAGTTCCAGCCAAGACTGGAACACAGTCTGAAACCTTTCTCAGAAAAAAAGAAAATAGGGGACCAGTAGTATGGCTCAGTGGGTAAAGACACTTGCCACCAAGCCTGATGATCTGAGGTTCAAACCCTGGGACCCTCACAGTGTAAGGAGAGAACTAACTGGTGCATGTTGTCCTGTGACCTTCACTGTGTGCTGTGGTACCTACATGTAAACATACACATACACAAAAAAATAAAAAGTAATTTAAAAAAATATAAAACCTTGGAAAGATGGTTAAGAGCGTATACTGCTCTTCCAGAGGACCTTAGTTTAGTATCCAGTAATGACATCAGGCAGCTTATAACCACCTGGAACTCTAGCTCTAAAGGACCTGAAGCCTTCATAAGTACCCACACACACATAAATAAAAATAAATAAAAAAAAAATAAAAACCTAAAATGTCAATATATACATGTGATATACTATATATATATATAATACACACACACACACACACACACACACATATATATCAGTCCTTGTTTTTTTGAGACAGGGTCTCCCTGTAGCTCCAGCTGGCCTGGAACTCAGTATATAGCTCAGGCTGGCCTCAATCTCACAGACATTGGCCTACCTCTGCTAGTTTAAAGGTGTGTGCCACCATGCCCATCAAATAATAAATATTGTTAAATGATTTTGGGGTGAAGGGTTATCATACTAGAGCATGTGGATCCCTGGGATCATACTCAAGTTAGTTGTCAAATTTGGCATCAGGCACTTTTACTGAGCAGTCTTGCTGGTCCAAATAATATATATTTCTTAACATATTTATTGAACTCTTACTATGTGCTTACTGAACTATATATGTATTAAACTTTACCAGCATTGCCTTGTTTAATTGACCCCAATAACCCTCTAGTGTAGAAACTGTTATTCTCGCTGCTTGATATGTGAGGAAATTAAGGCTTAGAGAAATTAGTACATCCAAGGTAATTTAGCTAGGAAATATGACAATCAAATTCCTGTTAAACTCCAAAGCTACTCTCTGAACCTCTTATATAACCATGGGCTGGAGAGATGGCTCAGCAGTTAAGAGCACTGACTGCTCTTACAGAGGACCCAATTTCAATTCCCAGCACCCAAATGGCGGCTAACAACCATCTGTGATTCCAGCTCCAGGGGAATTCAATGCCTTCTTTTGACCTCCCTGGGCATTGCACAACATGGATTCACTTATAGACATGCAGGCAATACACTCATACACATAAATTTTTTTTTTTTTTTAAAGTATAAACATTTCCACTTCCAGGAAGAAAATGCCTCATCCAGGCCACTGAACTTGAACTCCAAACCTCTCAAGTTCCTCTGTACTGACCTGGCGAGCATGTTCCATGGCTGCCTCACTCTCCCAGCCATATGCATGGGTCCGGGAGTGTGGGTTCCCATAGTAATTGATGAAGTACGGAAGCATGGCATCAAGCACCCGGGGATCCTGAGCAGGAGAGAATAAATGAGTCTTACTGAGTCCATGGTCAACTCAGGCCCAGTTCCACACTCTGAAACCTGCCTATCTTGCTCAGTACAGTCTCAATCTTTCAGATACTGCCTAACATACCTCCATCTCCTCAAATTCTAATCAAATATCAATCTAATATACTCCTACTCCCAAACCATTTTAAATGACAGTCTTCTACCATTCCCTCAGGTAGTTTATAAACATTGTCCTTTTTTTTTGAGAGAGAGATAGGGTCTTATGTGGCCCAATCTAGTGTCAAACTCCTAATCCTCCTGCCTCCATATCTAACAACGCAATCTTGTTTTGGTTTTGACAGGGTCTCTAGCCTAAGCTAGCCTTAAACTTACTATGTAGTTGACAATGATCTTAAACTTCTGATCCTCCTTTTTATACCTTCCTAGTAGTGCTGGGATAAGAGTTGTATACTACTGTGTCTGTTTTTTAATGCAGTGCTAGGTATCCAACCCAAGGTTTTGTGAATGCCGGGCAATCGCTCTACCAGCTCTACCAACTGATCTACATTCCCACCCCAACACTGTCTTGTTCTGACAACTGTCTCTACACATGTATCCAGTCCTATCAGGCAATGGAATTGATTTACAAAGAATTACTTGCCAGGTGTGATGTCACAAGTCAGTCTTTAATCACAGTACTCATCATAGTACTCAAGAGGCAGACGCAGGTGGATCTCTAAGTTTGAGGCCAGCCTGGTCTACATAGTGAGTTCCAGGCCAGCTGGGGCTACAGGGAGACCCTATCTCAAAAAACCAAAAAAATAAAAAATAAAAAAATCCAAAGGCCTGTGAATTGACAAAAGCAGGCAAACACCCTCCTCACACTAATGAAAACTTGTATTAATAATGGAACTGGAGCATAGCCAGCAGTAGGATGTGTACTTAGCACTAAATAACTAGTTTTTGGAGATTGGGGGAGGGGGGCAACCTCATGTAACCCTGGCTGACCTTGAATGATGTATCCAAGGATGACCTTAAAATTCCATCTTCCTGCATTCGGCTCCCTAGTGCTAGGATTACAGAAATTAGTTTTTTTTTTTCCTCTGGTCGTTTTTTTTGAGACAGGGTCTTTCTGTAGCCCCAGCTGTCCTGGAACTCACTATGTAGAACCAGGCTGGCCTTGAACTCACAAAAATCCACCTACCTATGCCTCCTGAGTGCTGGGATTAAAGGCGTGCGCCACCACACCTGGCAGAAATTAGGTTTTATGTGGAGCTAGGGATTGAACTCAGGGCCTCTTGCATGTTGGGCAAACACTCTAGCAACTGAATCACATTCCCAACCCCAATAACTACTATTATTCAGTGCTTATCATGTGCCAGGGTGCAGTATGTTTTTCAGCCCATTTAATACTCGCCCAAGTTCACATAGTTACTAAGTGGCAGTCTTCCAAGTGCTTGGGTTACAGACCACCATGTCCAACTCTAAGGCCCCATCAATGAACTTTTAAATCTATAATACTTGTACTGAAAGTGATTTGACCAAGGTCAAAGCAGTAAAGCCATTTCTGGCAAACTAGAATTTAAGACCCGACTCCTAGATTAACTACTACCTTTCCTAACACATTTAATGATTTTCAATTTTGCACAAACCTAGCCTTTTTGTGAAGTCTGTCATTCTAAACTACATTCCCTATAAAGACTTAGGGGGAAAAGCTCTCCTTCAGTACTTACCAGAGGAGTCGTAGCCTGCACATCCATATAGAGAGGTCGCAGCACTGACTCCGCCTCCGAGGGAACAGGCAACCAGGGCGCATGATCTACAACTGACAAAAAAATGCAGTGGAGTGGTTGAGATATGATGCAACTGTGGACAGGGCATACAAGACAGCAGCAGCTCAGGGCTGCACCCAGGGGAAGGGAAGGGAGGCTGGAATCAAATCTCAAAGGAAAGACAACAAATCAACAGAGAAGCCAGCACTCGGCAAAGGTACTCCAGGTAAGAGGCGGAGTCTCAGAGGAGGAAGATGCTCGCAATGTTATAACTGCCTGAAGGGAGTCAGAAGGGCTCTGAAAGGCAAAATCACTTAGAAGAAAAGTGAAAACAAGCGTAGGTTCCTGCAAAGGTTCGTGGCTGGACCGGAGCCTCGATCAGCATCTGTCGGCCAGGAAGGGGTCGGAAGGATGAGCCTGGTGGGCTCAGGGAACGAGCCGGGCACGGTCGCCGAGCGGCCTGCGGGGAAAAGGGGGGCTGCCGATGACGGGAACCGTCAGTCTGGGAGGTCCCGGGAGGCTCCGGAGCAGGGCAGCGCGTCTGGAACGAACGGCACCGCATGGCTTGTACCGCCTGGGAGGGTGGGGGCGACCGCGACGGGGACAGTACCGCGCAGGCGCAGTCCCCGGGTGGGCGCCGCAGGGCTCCGCCGGGCAGCCGCGGACGTAGCTTTAGCCGCTCGCCTCCAAGCGGCTCGCAGCAGCATGTTCCCAGCAACAGCGCTCACCATCTGAGGCCCTTAAGTCCGCAGACCCAGACTCCCGGAAGTAGATGCCGCGCGCTCCGGAAGCGATACTCCGGGCCGCGCGCGTCCTCCGCCCAGGTCTCTGTGAGAGACGTCGAGCGGAGCTACCGTGGAAGGAAGCGAGGTGAGTATGGCCCTCGCGGCGGAGGCCTAACTGCGCGGACCGAGGGCCTGGGGAAGCCCTGGTTCCGCGGAACTCCCGGTCCTTGCCCGCCAGCTCCCGCGCTGGCGGCCGGGCCTGACGCGCTGGCCTCTCACCCCGCAGATGCCGGTGGCTGTGGGTCCCTACGGGCAGTCCCAGCCTAGCTGCTTCGACCGCGTGAAGATGGGTTTCGTTATGGGGTGCGCCGTGGGCATGGCGGCCGGGGCGCTCTTCGGCACCTTTTCTTGTCTCAGGTGAGGGGCGCGGGCGACTTCTGGGCGGGACTTCCCGGCTCCCTCGGACAAGAGAGCCCTCTCGGTCCCCGGTGCCTCGAGTCCTTCGAAAGCTAGACCGACTTCCTGTTTATAGGTTGGAAGCGCAGTACTTAGACTCGGAGCGCTGGCGTCAAAATGGCTTTCTGACCATTCTAATTGGGTAGCTTTGGGCAAGTTGGAGGCAGTTTGTTCACTGTAGGCGTGCACTAACACGCACCTCCAACTCAAACTAATCATAGTGGCGTGCTCTGCACCTCATCTGGCACACCGTAAACCCGCGAGAATGGGGATTATTGCTATTGCTGCCTGGTGTGGAATGAAGCAAGGTTCGTGCGGTTTTACTATTCTGGAAAAAAGGATATAGAAATGGAGCAAATGGACTCATTCCGCACACAAATGCCGCTAGATTATAGAGGAAATAATTTGGATATGTATTTTTATTATGTTAGTTTACTCAAAACTTAGTGTTTTGTGCTCAGAGTGTAGTTATCGCTGGGAATGGTGGCGCACACCTTTAATCCTACCACTTGGGAACCTAAAGCAGACGGATCTCAGTGAGTTCAAGGCCAACCTGGTCTACCTAAGTTCCAGGTCAACTGGGGCTACAGGGAGACCCTGTCTCATAAAGACCCGCCCCTCCCCCTCAAAAAAGATTGTAGTTACGTAGTTTTTCTAAATGACCTATTGCCCGTTTTATACTGTCTACATAGCCGGTATTCAACTGCAAAAATCATGAACACAGGAAACTAAAACAGTCTTAGGTAGCACACACCATAGAAGCTGGTGTCCCTGCCCATGTGCTTTATACTGTACCTGATGCCTTCTATAAACTGGAGGCAATTTACAGAATGTATTTCTCATCTTAGCAGATAAGGTAAAGGAATCGTCTGAGTGTTAATGACTTATTTGAAAACGGATTGGAAAGGGGAAAATTAATACTTTGACCTGATTTTGTTCCCAAATGGCCCCATCTTGCTTTCTCCTCAGGATCGGAATGCGGGGTCGGGAGTTGATGGGCGGCATTGGGAAAACCATGATGCAGAGTGGCGGCACCTTTGGCACATTCATGGCCATCGGAATGGGCATAAGATGCTAATCAGGACAGTGAGTGCCTGCTACATCTAAACTTTCCCATCCATCTCGACCCTTGTACTATAATAAAAAGTTTTTTCTTCTCATTCTCAGTCTGTTATTGTACAGCTCAACCAAAGACCTTGTATATTTAAAAGGTGAGCTACTGAACACGGTTGGCATGTTTCAAAGTTGTAAACAAACTTTAAAACTAGTTAATTGGCCGGTGTGTGGTGGCATAAGCCTTTAATCCCAGCACTGGGAAAGCAGAGGCAGGCAGATCTCCAAGTTCCAGGCCAGCTGGGGCTCCAACGAGACCCTGTCTTATTAAAAACCCGCCCCCGTAAGACTAGTTCATTGTTGGTTAAAAAATTTTAATTTACATTTTTGTCCTACTCAATAGTCTGATCTTTGAAATTTCTGTAGAAAAACACAAACTTACCCAGTAGAAGACACATTTGAAATAGCCAATTTTAACTATCTAAATCGCAGGTCTCAACAATTCAACTGTGTAACCATATCACAAAATTTTATTAGGTTGACAGAACATCTCTATGAACCAAGTGTCCTTGGCAAACTAAGCCTCAGTCTTGGGTAGACATTGCCCCTCAAAAAACTGACTAGTACTTGAAAACCTCACCAATACTGTAACAGAGCAGGAAGTGAGTATGGAAAGACACTAGAACAGCTCTAGGAACTACAGATCATAACTGGAGAGGGTACAGACTAAGAATTAAGTGTTCCAGTAGGATCCATAGTGACTATTCAACAAGATTTAACCCAAACCACAAATAGGCATGAAGTCTAATGGCCAGTCCTAGCACAGTGAGGTAATGGTCAGTGAAGCAGTGAGACTCTGTCTCTAAAAAGGTTCAGGCCAGTATGCCTCAATAGAGCAAAAGCATCGCAAGCAAAAATCGTGTTACACAGCACTTAGGAAAAGACCGAACTCGTCTTAAAAAGTAGTGAAGCATTTATTCCCAAAGACCACCTACATCAAACATCCATATTTGAAAATCAAGGTAAAAATTTCCCCAGCATTTTGATGCATTAACCACCAAAATATATTATATTGGTAATTCAGTAAAAGAATAAAACGAGGGCAAGCTTCCCATGCAGCATACATTCTTTGGCTAAGGGACACAATTCCATGGTAGACAACTTACCTAGCATGCACAAAATCCTGGGTTGAACTCAACAGCAGGTAGGTAGGGGAAAAGAATTTTTTCCCCTACACTGCCAAGTTCTTTAGTATTACTAAATACTAGACGTGGTATATTATCTATTATGACTTTAGCAATCCCAAGGCAGAAGCAGGAGGATCAGTTTGTAGTAACCCTGACTGTAACGGTGATCCCTCTCAAAATGAAAGCTTATAGCCTATGCTCGAGTTTCTAACATTAAAACATTGGAAAAATGAACATTTGTGGCCTTTTTAAGAGAATTTTATTTGAGTGGTTCTTACAAAGATTGTTGCAATATGAAAGTCATTTGATAGAAATATCAAGCTGTCTTGTCATACACACTGAAGTAACCCAAAAATATATTTCAGAGCTCACAGAGCTTAAAAAGAGCAAAGATATGCAACCAGACAAAACCTATTTCTGCATTTCCTATCTCTTGCCCAGACTGCTTTGCTTACCAGACTGTTACTAAACATCCTCAGAAATGCAGGGATCATTTTGTTTGGAATCTTAAGACACACCAGAACACACAGTATTTACAAAGAAACTTACAGATACATTAATTGAAAAGTTGCCATCAAGAAATATAATTTTAAGTCTCCCTTTCTTACCAAGGTGAGATGCTAAACAGCCCTTTAGCTGCCTAGAATTTTCATACACTGCATGTGTATTCATTCCAGAAATGTTTGCTGAACCATGAGCGAAATACATGAGTGAAAGGTGAAATTTAACTGCTGTGTAAAAAGTTAGGCTTCCGAAATATTAAAACATTACCTGTCTGCCTTTATACATAAAGCACATTTTGTTCCCCCTAGAGCTATTCTATAGATTCTTAATGTAATTTTCTAAATGAACATTTAAAAAGGCAGGAGAACTTTGCATAAAGTGGGGTTTGCTAGTTAAGGGAGAATGAGCACACTGCATTCCTGTTAACATTTTTATTTTTCAAAGTAACAGGAGTTGTATACAAATGACAGTAGACCCTTGCCTCTTTATTTTTATCTAAATAAAAGATAGCTCAAGATGAATTCTCAAGGAAAAAAAAAGCTATGTACATAAGGGACTATATCTTCCTTCATCGTCTACTTGGAACCAGTAGTTGTGTTGCTGTCATAGAATCAGGAAAGAGGTTGTGATAAGTTGGAAGAGGTACATATGCTGCTGTAATCATTTTACCTGATGAAAAAAAGACAAGAGTTGGGTTAGCATCTTAATCACTTGATGTAAACATTGAGTTTAGTAGCAAGGACAGAACAAAAAAAAAAAAAAAAAAAAAAAAAAAAAAAAAAAAAAAAAGAAGAAAAAAACTCACCAGCAAACCATCTGCCATGTAATGCATTGACAGCAGCAATAGCTGCAGCAATAGATGGGCACTTCACATATACATTGCCCTAAAAGATAAAAAGGTTTAAAAAAAGTTGTACAGAACACATATATATTCTGTATATTTATTCTAATAAATACTGTGTATGCACTTAAGTTTTATTGAAAATGACTATATGCCCATATTTGCATTACCATATGTTATTTGGTTTTTAGCTAAGGTAAGAATAAAGATGGAGAGGCTGGAGACATGTCTCAGAGGTTGAGAGCACTGGCTGTTCTTGCAGAGGACCTGGGTTTGATTCCCAGCACCCCCATGGCAGCTGTGAACTATTCTTAACTCCAGTTCCAGGGGAATCCAAAGCCCTCTTCTGACCTCCAAGGCATTGCACTGATATGGGTGCACTCCCATACATGCAGGCAATATATGAATAAAGATGGATGTAATTCATGCCAGCATCTGGATATTACCAAGAAGTGATCTGTAATGCTAATAACCTTTGTCAAATGAATTGTTTTGCAATAGCTTTTTATTTTGGAGGGGGTTCTTAGCTAACACATTGAAGTTCCTTTTAAAAATAACCACTAGGCCAGCAGAGTGGCACATGCATGTAATTTCAGTACATAGGAGGCTGAGACAGATTAGTTTCAACTCAAGGCCAGTCTAGGGCTACAATGCAAGGCTCCATTTAGAAAAAAAAAAGTCCGTGATATGCCCCAAATATGTAAACAATATGACACAGAACAGTATATTTAAAATGTTTAGTTCAAAATTTCCAAATACCTGAGCTGAATTTTTGTCAACATAAATATGAATAACACCTCCATGTTTATTACACTCTTCAATCACATCATCTTTAATCTCTGTATCCCATCCAACTTCTTCTTCTCTGTAAGAAAATATTAAACTTTAATCAGAATCTACAAAAAGAATGAAATTATATTCAAGACTTAAAAGTACTAGGGTAGTAAGGGCTGACAGCAAGTGCTATTCCCTGCAATTCCCTCCACCTTTTTCAAAGTCTCACAGTGAACCTGAACTCATCTTTACAACTGAGCTGATGAGCCAATGAGCTCAAATGATTCACCTGTCTCTACCTATTCCCCAACACGGGCTTGTGGAAACCAAGCTTTGTACATGGGTATGAAGATCCAACTTAGGGCCTCATACACATGGAAAGTATATTACAGGCCAGCTTGGTCTATACAGCAAGCTCCAGTGCTACGAGACCCTGTCTCAAAAAAACAACAAAAAAAATGAAGCCGGGAGTGGTGGTGGATGCCTTTAGTCTCAGCACTCAGGAAGCAGAGGCATGCGGGATCTTAGTAAATTCAAGGCCACCCTGATTTACATAACAAGTTCCAGACCAGCTGGGGCTACAGGGAGACCCTATCTCAAAAAAGCCAAATAAAACAAAATGACACAGCCAAAGTAGACAGCTCCCAAATAATCACACCTTAGGGTGACCGATGGCCTCTACAACCATAGATACACACATGTATGCTTATATACCTGCATAAACCCACACAAAAGTATGTCTACCAACACCATACATTAATAAAAGAAAATCATTATATTTGACTGATAATGTTTAATAAATATCAAAACAAGAGTGGTGAGAAGGTAAACTGAAAATAGATCAAGTCCAAGACTGTTCCTAACAACCCACTAAGACCCTTTTCTCAAAATGAAATAAAAAGAGGGCTAGAGCAGAAAGAGTTGGAAAGATGGCTCAGTAGTTAAGAACACTTGCATTAAACCAGGTTCAGTTATGAGCACATGGGAGATCACTTTAACAGGTTCCAAAGGTACCAGGCACATGCATTGTACACTTACATACATGCAGGCAAAGAATACAAAAAAAGAAAAAGAAAAAAAAAAAAAAGAGGCTGGAACAGGATGTGCTGACACACACATTTAATTGAAGTACATGATGGTGATAAGCAGAGGCAGGGGAAGATCTCTGAACTAATGACCAGCCTGGTCTACAGAGGGAGTTCCAGCTAGGAAAGGGATAATCTAGTGAGACTCTAACAACTACAGGGGGCTGGGTGTGATAGCAAATCCCTTTAATCCCAACAGGGAGGCAGAGGCAGGCCTGTCCAGTCTACACAGTGAGTTCCAGGGACACTTGGACTACAGGAGGACCCTGTCTCAAAAAGACCAAAAAACAAAAAAACTCCAGTACGACAGATTCCACTGCCCTCTTCAGGCCTCCATGGGCACTGCACCTGAATGGTGTACTTACATACATGCAGGAAACACTCATACACATGGAAAATTGAAAAAAACAACAACAACAAAAAAAACCCACCCTGGCTGAGGATCTTTGTCAGTGATACAGCACTTGGAAAGTTGGTTACACAAACTTCGTATTACAGAAAATTTCAAAAGCTTTTAATCCCAGTTTAACAAAAGCTTACTTACGTTTGAGGATTGAACATGTTAGAGAGTTGGAAACACTGTGTTGCTAGTGGTTGAACAGATGCAGCTGCAGCTAAAGCAGAGGCTAAAAAACAAGAAAAAAAGAAATTAGCTTCATGGAAAATGTGTTAACTATCCCTGAAAAATAACTAAAAATGAAAGCAACAAAACCTGT